AGGTCAGGGCGCACCGGCGGTCGAGGCTGGTCCCGCTCATTGGCTCTGCACCATGGCCCAGGGCCTTCCTCCACACACATAGCACGCCAGAGGGGACGGATGTGCAGCTGTCGTCGAATACCCTCGTCGCGCACAGAGGCCGTTCACTCGCTGCCCACACCCACTCGCCCTGTCTGTGTCTGTGACCCTGCCGTTGTCGCCGCCGCCGCTGCGCATTCTGCGACGCTGCCCACGACCAACCTGACAACGCTCTTGGGGGGGCGGCCACCGATCGACCGACCGCCCACTCAACTGCACCACCACCACCACCTCCTACGCCCACCAACACGCCTACGCCTACGCCTTCGCCTGGTGCTGGCTGCCGGACTCCTCCCCTCTTTACCCATCCATACACGCCCGCCGTAGTCCACTTCGCCCCTACACCATGGATAGCCCAGGAGCCTATCCAGAGTCTCCAATCGACGACGAGGTCGTGTATCCCTGCAAAGGATGTGGAGAGGTATGCACCCGCGCCGCCCCCAGCACTCACTTGTTCCTCTCGCTGGCCTGCTCACATACGTCCTCCAGATCCTCGAAGAAGGAAAAGCATTCGAGCTCGGTATGCCCTCCTTGCCTTGCTCTGCCCTCCCTGCCCGGCTCCGCCCTACGCTGCCCAACTCATATCCTCCCCGCACGCTCGCTAACACTGTCCAGCTGGCAACCGATGGCACATCGACTGTTTCCGCTGCAACACCTGCGGCACCCTTCTCGACTCCGATGCGAATCTGCTGCTCCTGGGCGACGGTTCCCTGATATGCAACAACTGTACATACAGCTGCAACCACTGCGGCAACAAGATCGAGGACCTCGCCATTCTGACTGGTGACCAAGCCTTTTGTGCCAATTGCTTCAGGTGCCGGAATTGCAAGCGCAAGATTGAAAACCTCCGCTATGCTCGTACTTCACAGGGAATCTTCTGCATGTCATGTCATGAGTCGCTCATGGCCCGCCGGCGCAAGAAATCAAAAAAACCGCCCTCAATTGCACCAAAAGTAGACAAGTCTCTGCCAGCTCTGCCTCCTCAGGAACCAACCAGCAGCTCTTTCACCCCAGACCTGGACACGCCCTCGGAAGCCTTTTCGGAGCCTCCTACAACCGATGTATCTCCCAGGCCACCTCACCCAAGAAGAGGCGATTCGTCTTCAAACTTCAGGCGCGATGCATCACCTATTCCAGATCTGTCTCGAAAGGGTTCGTCTTGCCAAATAACACACACTCCGTCAGTCCCAATTCATAGCTAACAAATCCACACTACACAGACAACACAACACTTCCCGCCACAACCTACGGCAAAGACACCAGTCGCTCAGAACCTGTCGATACTGCCGACGACGGCATCCTTCTTCCCTTCGCTCTCGACCCAAACCCGGCACCAGGCCCATCACCCCTAGGTCGACCTACAAGCAGAATCAACGACCGACAAGGAGCAAAGTCAGCCGGAAACGTAGAGGGAAAGAGCGGCCGCGACTACTTCAACAGACCTACAGCCGATCATCGCGAAAAGCTCAAGGAGAATGGCTCACGAGATGCCTCACGAGATGCCTCCAAAGAGCGAAGGCAGACTTATCAACCGCAGGCTGGAAGCCCACATATTGCTTACCAAGAGAAGGGACGGCAACCTTCGGACACAATGGTGGACACGCTGAAGAAGAAGAAGGATGGCATCAACGAGTCTACCTTAGCTGAACCTCGGTCCAAGAGTCAGCATGCTTCTCCTGCACCGTCTTCAGCTGCAGAACCCTTCAAGTTACAAGATGTTCCAAAGAGCAAGAAGGCAGATGCAAAGCGCAAAGACTCTGATGACACAGCTTCCTCGTACAGCCAGCCGCAACAGCGTAGCACTTCCAATACCGCTACGCCTTCCCGCCACAGCCGTTCCTTCATGGAAGCATCGTTCACATCTTCTCCACCCATTGGTTCGCAGGACTCACCCGATACTTCAGAATCATCCTTTGGCTCCAACTTGGTTGTTGAACGGCCAGCACGTGGCGATTCTCTTAACCCCGCTGCTATCAGGTCTTCCCAACACGATCGAGCTGGTGGCTCGCCCACAACTCCAACTTTGAGCCATCCGGATCGATCATCGTCTGCAACTGCAGCTACGGCGCAACTGAACGCGGGTCTCGGTATCACTGCTGCGGCGGATACACCATCCTCCAGAAGTCTCTCTGATGTCCCCGTTCTTCCTGCACGTTCGGGCGGCCGGCCAGCACCACCCCCGACTGATACATTTACCTCTCCACGTGCTCCGCCACAACCACCTTCGGCACAGATTCACAAGACGAGCGAGTCTATGAGCAGTGAGGCCTCTCGAGATACCTATCCTCCGGGCGGACTTCCTCGTTACAGTCACCAGGGCGATTTCTCCATGGATGAAGACTTTGCGCGACTACTCGGCAATCAAGAGGGCAGAGATGATAAAGAAAGTGGTGTTCTCAGAAGAGTCTCAAACGCCGTCTCGAAGCATGGGCGTAGTTTTAGTGATCGTTCCGTCACTACACGAAGTCACAAGAAATGGCCTGCAAACGGCTCAGTCGATATCAGCAGCCCCACTGTGCCCTCTCCAGACTCCAAAGAAGAAGGTGCCAACCTGAGGAACGAATTGCGCCGTGCCCAGCAGCGAATTGCAGAGCTCGAGGCTGAAAAGAATGGGCTACAGGAATCAATGCACAGCGCAGCCGACATCAAACAAGCCAATACAGTTTTGCGAGAGAAGCGAAACACAATGGCTGTCTTGGACACACAGCGTGAAATGGTCATTCGCGAGTTGGAGATCATGACTGAGCACCTTAAGCGCGCTAAGAGCAGTCAAGGCTCCATGGACATTGGCCAGCTCAAGTCAGACATTCTCAAAGACTTTGGAAGCTCCCTGCAGAAGCTCAAAGACAATTTGGGTCATCAAATAGAAGACCTGATCACTAAAAGATCGGAGTTGACTGAGGAGATTTCCAATCTTATCCAGATGAAGGACAAGGGTTTCCAGGAATACGAGTCGCTAACGGCCGCCAATACAAGACTTTCTGCCATGAACCGCGACATAGTAGACAACATACAGACCAACCTGAAGAACAACAAAAAGCCTGGACAAAATGTTGATGTTCCTCCGAACGGTCTGGGCATATACACCGCCCAGCAAAAGGGTGGAAAATCGGAAATCTCGGTGGATACGACATCCATTGCCCATGACCATTCGTACGCCAACCTTCATGACACCGAGTCTGAAGCAACTGTCGCTCAGCCACAAGTCGTCAACATCAGAAAGACGGGCAAACCTACCAAGTTCTCCACCTGGAAGAAGGGTGGCCAAGCCATCACCAAGAACGTCACAAAGGGATTCAAGGGAGCATTCGGCTCAGAGCAGAAACAGGAGGACTATCAAATCAAAGTCATCGGAACTCCCTATGGCTCAGTGCACCAGCAGCCCGATCTCGTTTCCATGTCCAGCTCTATCAAGAGCAGCCAGCAAGACCAGAACGCTCAGCGTGGTTGGTTTGGTGGCAAGCCTACAGGTGGTAAACCAGGCCAACCTCAATATAGGCCAATGCAGCACAATGAGAGTAGCCTCAACTTGCCTGCTGACGCCAGTACCGTGCTCTTCGGTTCGGATCTAACGGCCCGATGCGAGTTCGAAAAACAGATGATCCCTCGCATCGTCAGTCGATGTATTGAAGAAGTGGAACTGCGTGGCATGGACGTCGAAGGTATCTATCGGAAGAGCGGTGGTACGTCTCAAGTAAACCAGGTCCGCAAAGGCTTCGAGACAGACTCAGAACATGATATTTCCGATCCCGACCTGGACATTCACTCAATCACCTCGGCGCTCAAGAATTACTTCCGAAGGCTTCCTGTACCGCTGATCACGTTTGACGTCTATGACCAATTTTTGGAAGCTGGCCGTAAGTCCCAATCCTCGTTTGCGCAATTCATCACTAACTCTTGTCCAGAACTTGAAGAGCCTAGTGCACAAGCCAAGGCTTTGTCTGCGGCTGTCAATGAAATACCCAAGGCTCACCGCGATACCCTCCAGTTCCTTGTGTTTCATCTTTCGCGCGTCATTCAGCATGCTAACGATAATTTGGTATGCATTCCCCTAAGCGTTGTTCTACACCCACTCTTTACTAAGTACATCCTTAGATGACACCATTGAACGTTGCCGTCGTTTTCGCGCCAACCATTATGCGACCTCTGGATATTCAGCGCGAGCTTACAGATGTTCAGCAGCAACGTGTTGCCGTGCAAGCGCTCCTTGAGAACTACAAGGCCGTGTTTGGCGACGAATAGATGAGTCAGACACAGGTTTAGGCTCTCACTGCGTAGCTTGTACAGTTCCGTTGGGCATATTTCTAATGTTGAAAAGCGCTTATCCCTTATCTACTCGCCTGCGTCGCAGCATTCATCTTCAATCTTCGTATGTCGATACTGGATGTTATAATATGGCTTCCACCTCTTCTTCTCTTCTATCTTCTTGTATCATACGACTCTGTACTCGGTTTTGGATGGCTTTCCTACCAACGACTGTCAGGGATGTATTGATGGTGATGATGGAATTTGTTATTATACCCTCCAGGGCTTTGTTTTTGTTTAGTTATCTTAGCGTAAGGTGTGGCATAGTCATAGATTCATGCAAAAGCAGCATACCATGCGCTTTCTGCAAGTCAATTGGAAACAAGTTCAGGGGTGTGGTATATGGTCTAGAATCCTTGACAATTCACATGCTCCACAGGCATGTGCTGTTCCTATGCTTGGCAGTTTTGTGACGACGCGCTAACGCGCTCACGATGACGTCATGTGGTTGCCCACTAAGCGAATAAACATGTAAGGCAGCCTGTTTCCAGTACCACGCTATTGCCTGTCACCTTCCACAGCTTCCCGGCACCCATCAACAGATTTGCTTCTCACACTTCAATCTCACACGACCCTTTCCCACCTACCAAAAACCACTTCATCTTCTCCTCTACATCATGTCTTACGCAGAGATGGCTGCCAAGGGCCCTAAGCAAAGCCCTGAAGAAGTAAGTTCATACATAAGAGACTTTGTAGTACGTGCCATAGCTAACAATGGGGTAGGCGTAAGTAAATTCATCTCTTCCTTGCGAAGGAATTGGCTTGGTAGCTGCTCTTTTTGTAGCTCTGCGATCAGACACTGCCGACCGTCCCATCTCTTGAATACAGAAATGGATGGATTTTACAAACAGCATGTACCACAATACTGACGTAAAAAATAGTCGTGCACCCGCACCCCCACAAGTCGAACACACCCCTGATGACAGTGTTCACTCGCTCGTCGACGTAGATAGCCCCCACATTTCTTCCGTGCCCTCTGACTACGAATCACAATCTATCAAAACCGACACACAAGCCGAACGCATACAACGCGAAGAGGAGGTCAAGAAGGAAGCTGAGAAGCTGAAAGAACGGGCTGCTGCAAAGAAGGAGTCTGCTAAGGAGAAGGCCAAGAAGAACGCTGATAACCCTGTTGTTATCGGCAATGCCGTAGGCCTCGCCATTGTTGGTGGTATTGTCGGATTCGGCGCATACAGGCAATATGCACGCGGTGAACTGACTGGCAAAGTCGTCGCTGCCTGGGCCGCTGCGATTGGGCTGTTCGGTGTTGGTGACTACTACGTCAGCCAGTATGTTTCATTGCCTGCTCTCTGTGTTGCGATTGATTCATTTACTAAATTTTGAAACAGGTATTTCTTCAAGAGAAACCCGCCGCAATAAATGTAGGCTACAGTCTTTGCCCCAAACCCTACTCCATTCGGTCGAAGTATCGCCGCAATGTCGAGTTTGGCACAGTAGCTTTATCGTCTAGAGTTTGATGTTTCGGCTTGGTTTAGTTTAAGTACTACGTGTGTACTGCCATTATGGGAGAACATATCAAGCTTGGAGCTTTAGATTTGATTTCGACTTCGAGAGCGATGCTTTCCCAAGCCTACTTTTGTACATACGAGGTTGACATTCAATATACCCATTCTATTATCTCTATATTGCAATTTTATGAAGAATGTAAATAGATCTGTATTGAATTTGCTTGCATTATTTTTTGAGCATCATATAATAAGTTGACGTAGAGAATGATGGGGTGATATCAGTTGTAGAGCACGTGACTGTCAATCGCCGACGATGCAGATCCCTGCGCTTTCCGCTTAGAAATGCAGGTCCCATAACTTTTGCATAGTGACGACAGCGTATCTTCCTGTTCTCAATACCCGTCACGACACTCATTGACTCTCCCTTCTTTGTTTCATATCTTTGTATACCATGTTTCGAGCGGCACCGCGACTAATTGCGCGTCCAGCGCTGCGGACTGCGTCATTGCGGTCCGTCGCACCCACCAAGCGTTATATCAGCACAGCTCCGCCATCACAAAAGTCCAGAAGTTTCAAGAGCTTGGTTGCGCGGGTGGGCATTGCTGGCGCCATAATATATTACTACAACACAACGGATGTTTTCGCAGAAGAGCCGAGGCGTATGTCCAGACTTCGGATAGCACAATGATTGGAATCTGAGAACTGACGAGGCTTCCAGAGCTTGTCCAGGCACTCCCAGAAACCGAAGTAGAATCCGAGCACCTACCCACCATCGAATCGATCGCTGAAGAACGCAAGCGAAGACAGGCGGTGCAAGCGCAATTGGAGATTCAGAAGCAAAAAGAGGCCGAAAGTGCACAGCAGAATGGTGAACAGGGAGGGATTGAAGGACTAGAAGAAGAGGCGGATCAGCAAGGCGCGTTCAATCCAGAGACTGGAGAAATCAATTGGGATTGCCCATGCTTGGGAGGTATGGCCCATGGCCCTTGCGGTGAGCAGTTCAAATCGGCTTTCAGTTGCTTTGTCTACTCGAAAGAGGAACCCAAGGGCATGGACTGCATCGACAAATTCAAGTACGCTCCACCGTTCCGCAGATGCTTCAAATGAGGCCAATTCTGGAATCGCATAGATTACTAACAAAGCACTAGGGACATGCAGAACTGCTTCCGTGAATACCCCGAGATTTACGGCTCCGAGCTTGACTCTGATGACGCTGATGACGACATGACCGCGGCTCCAGAACCAGTGGAGACATCGAGCCAGCCTTCCACCGATTTCGCTCCTCAGGCCGACTCTGCACCTAAGCTTTCGACAACTGAAGACTCGGAATTGGTTCAAGACAAATCGACCGGCGAGCAGAAGTCAAAGCCAGCCGCCTCGGATGCTGGCCTTGTACCTGAAGAATACAGACCCGAGAGCAAGCACAACCCAGTTTTCGATGCCAGGGGAGATATGAGCAGTGTGGAGAGCGAGAAGGAGAAGAACAGTCAAAAGCCAAAGGACGCGAGTGATAGCACGAAGGCGAAAAAGCAGGAGCCGGTTAGTGAGAGCAAGAGCCTAGTGCCCAAGGCCAGCCACGATGCCAGCGAGCCGGGAACGGAGAAGCTTTCTCAGAGGTAGATGGGAGAGGGGCTTGAGATATGAGAGAAGCATAACTTACCAAGTGTACTATATTACGTAGCTGTACTATATCACATAAGTGTAACACCACGATTACGTTGTTCTTAGCTGCTAGCGACTGGTGATGGAAAATATTTTCTCAAAAACAAACGTTAATAGTACTACTGCTACTACCACCACTACTACTACTACTACTCTAACAACACCGATATATAGCAAGCAGGCAAGCTTGAAGACAACCTGCTCGACAAGAAGCCGCCCGGAATTTCTGTGCCATAAAATATCTGGGAGAGAGATACACACATCCTACCCCCATTTCAATTGAGAGAGGAAAAAAAGAAAAAAAACGCCAGAAAACACCGAATATCCCATTTCGTTCGGAGAGCACATATGATTTGCGCTCACCACACATCCACATCCACATCCAGCGCACGCCAGTTTGAAGAAACTTTCGGGGATCTCCATCGCAAAACATGGGAGGGACAGCCGTAGCCAGACCCCAGACAATGTAAAGGTAGATGGGAGAAAAAGGGGGGTGGTGCGTGTGTCTCTGCAACTTTCATCGTCGTCACCCCCGACCCACATGTAATACCGTATAATAAAGGGAGGAGAGAAACCAAACAGCCCAATACCACCAAGCCAAATCATCGCTTAAATCTCTATCTTACCGTATCCCTCTGCCCCGTCAGCAACTGGCATGACAACCCCCGCATCAACGCTATCCCGCTTAACCCCCATGCTATCCTCCCCCTTTCCAACGCCAAACATGCGAATAGCCTCTGTAAGCGCCTGTACAGCGTCCTCATTGCTCATGCTGCCAGGGAGGCCCTGACCGCCCATCGAGGAGCTGATTTTTTTGGTAGCGTCCTCGAGGGCGCGGACGCGGCGTTGGAAGTTGAGGCGGTCCATGAAGAGTTGTTGGCGGCGGCGCTGGAGGTCGCGGCGCTCGGCAGAGAGCAGCTTCTCGAAGTCGTTGAAGTGGGCGAGTTTGAGCTGCAGCTTCTGGAGTTGCAGGTTGACGGCGCCCGAGACGAGGCGCGTGATGTGGCGCTCTTCGTGGGAGGCAAGCGCTGAGGAGCGCGCGGCGGAGAGGGCAAAGGGGAGGGTGGCGAGCGGGTTGCCGCCTGAAGAGGTGTCTGCTTCTTTTGTGGCTGCTGTGGTGGATTCGGCGGACGTGTCAATGTCCATGGCGTCTCCGCCCTCTGGCTTCATGTCTGAAGCTGAGGCTGCGGGTGTCGACTGCTCGCCTTCCTTTTCCTTGCCCTTTTCTGAGGGGGCTGTTGGGGCCTTGTTGATCTTCTCCTGCAAGATGCGCTTCATCTCGTTGACACTGCGCCCTGAAGCGACTGCGGCTTCAGTGACGTTTGCAGGTGCCAGACCAGCCAAGAAGCTTACTACGCTCAGTATCGGGTTATCTGCATGGTGAATTGGGACGCGGCCTTCGCTAAGATACTCAAGATCGCGTAGGAATTTGGTTGAAGGAGCCGCAGATTGTGACTCTGGTAGATCTGCCTCGACATACTTGTCCTCAATCTCGAGTTGTAGGAATTTCATCACACACTGTTCGCGAGTCTTTGTTTGAACGTGGTCTGCAACGCGATTCCAGTCGTCATCGAACTCCTCCAAACCCTCAAGTAGTAGGAGGGTCTCTTCTTCGGTCCACTTCTCCTCGGTCTCGGTAGCTGCCAAATCTTCTGGATTCGAGATCTTAGTGAAGTCTGCTGATGATGTGCCGGATGGGAAGTTGCCCTCTACAAAACACCTGGGGCACAGATCCCGCTTCAGACCCCCAGCAGCCTTAAGCTGTCCTGGCTGCTCAGAAGGCTTCGTCTCGTGGAAATGTACGCGTGTGCATTCGACACCGCAGCTAAAGCAGTTGATGACCTTGGTCGGCTCTTTGGCAGCAGCCTCGAGGTCCTTGACGTCGACTGATCCGCCGTTTGCAGCCGCTTCTCCGTTTGCCGCCTTGGGTTCTACAGAAGCCTCCTTGCCATTGGGCTCGTAGATGTTTCGGCCTGCCAGAGACTTGGTCTCGCTCTTTGCAAGGGGTTGTTGGCTCGCGGCGCGGTCAGTCGCTGCGAGTTGCTTGCCCTCTGTCACTTTTGAGCCTGGTCCTGGTTGGAAGGGCTGGAGTCCACGGGGGGTGTCGACTGTGACGCGGAAGTGGCCGGTGAAGGGTGGGCCAATGTTCGATGGGCGTTCCTGTGGGTCAACCTAAACACTATCAGTCTTAATCCGGGCGCATCATGGCGTGAGATGTACCTGGTAATTAATCAAACCCCACTGTTCGAGGAAGGCGTGTACCCGCATGATGGCGCACACGTCTCCAGCAAGATTCCTTCGGCATGCAGTGACTGTGAGATACTCGGATGGGTTGAGGCGGTATGTGTTGATCATGAAATCACGGTAGTCGCGGTAGACGGCCGGGGTCTTGCTGCGGTTACGGTTGTTGAAGAACTCTGGCAGGGCCTTGCGCTCGCGGTAGTCAATGTAGCGCATATCAAACCAAGTCGCGTAGCTTGGAATGATGGTCGCATAAGTCTGCGTGACAAAGTGGGAGCGCGCTGCCGATTGCAAATCGGCCTTTGCTTGTGCTTCGGGATCCGCAGCTTCGGCGCCTTCGCCCTCCTTCTTTGCATCGTCGGTGCCGCCCATTTCTTCATCCTCTTGACCATCTGCATCTTCGGCTTCCGGCCGTGGTGCGTCGGGTGCGTCTAGAGGGTTGTCGGATGCGGCAGCAGGTGTTGCAGTCGCGGGCTCATTTGACGACGCCTTGACGGCAGTGTCTTCGAGCATGTTTGTGTCTGAGCGGATACTTAGCACATTGAACTTGTTGGTTCCGTACAGCGTTTTGGGTGAGGCAGAGAGAAGACTGTTGCCATGATGATCTGGAGACATATGTTCGACCAAATCGTCGACGTGGCTGGGGATGCGTGCAACAGAACAAGTGCGGAGAGCTGCGACCTACCTTGATCAAGCGCATTGGTGTCTGCGGCGCCTTCTCCGGAAAGGGTGGGGTCCTGGGCGGATGCGCTTGTTGTTGTGTCGTCGGCCATAGCTACGAGGGTACGGGACGAGACGAGACGAGCGATGCGATGAAGCGCTTGACAGCGTGGTGCAGTGGTGCACGAGAAAATCGCGGTGCGCAGGGGCGTAGAGCGACTGCGCGATCGCGGGCAGGATGAAGAGGCGAATTGCAGCCGTGTGGTGGGCGTAGGAGGGTGGGGATGAGGGGGAAGCGATGGGGTGCAATGGAGTCGCGTCTGAAGTTCGCGATGCTCGACCAGGCCCAAGCAAAAGTCCACTAAGGAGCAGTTGATCACGTGATCAATATCGCGCTCCGCACCCCAGGGCTAGCGCCGGCCATGCAGCCTGGTCAAACCGAGGTTGCCGTCCCGCACATCTGGTGGAGGTGCCTTTGCCAGTCCCAGTCTTGAACCCGCATTCTCCCTCGAACTGTCTCGTTTTTGGCTGTTATCCTCTTCTCTGGGTATTGCGCCAATTTCGCCTGCCATGTTCTCCGCCGCCCGCCAATGCGCCCTACGAACTGCTCGAACTCGGCTTAGACAGTCGCAACCCGTCGCCGTCCCACAGTACTCGGCCTTTGCACGCTTGGCCTCAACTCTCGCGGTCCTCGAGCAAAAAGATGGAAAGATCGTATCTCAGTCATTGGCCGCCATCACAGCCGGAACAAAGATTGGAGGTTCCATAACAGCCTTCGTTGCGGGCAATGGAGTCAAGGCTGTCGCAGAAGAGGCTGCAAAGGCAAAGGGTGTGGAAAAGGTCATCTACGTTGAGAATGGCGCATACGATAAGGTCGGAAGCACAAGCAGTGATTGCGCCCTATGAGCTGACCATATCCCAGTCTCTCCCCGAGAACTATGCGCCCCTCCTGGTAGAGAACATAAAGAAGGGCGGATACACACATGTCATTGCCGGCCACTCGGCCTTTGGCAAGAACATCATGCCCCGCGTCTCGGCCCTCCTCGACTCGCAACAAATATCTGACATTACTGGCATTGAGAGCGAAGACAGTGAGTTGGAGGTTATAGCATCGCTGAACAGTAGTACTGACGTAACCTGCAGCGTTTGTCCGACCAATCTACGCCGGTAACGCCATCATGACCGTCCAATCGTCCGACAGCACAAAGGTCATCACCGTTAGAGGCACTGCATTCCCCGCACCTGAGGCTGAAGGTGGAAACGCAACCGTTGAAGAGGGCGTTGACCCCAAGGCCGAGTGCCCGACTGAATGGATATCCGAGGACCTCCAAAAATCCGACCGACCCGATCTCGGCTCAGCAGACAAGGTTGTGTCAGGAGGACGTGGTCTGAAATCAAAGGAGGAGTTTGACAGGCTTATGCCACCTCTAGCAGACGCACTTGGTGCTGCCATTGGCGCTTCAAGAGCAGCAGTCGACAGTGGCTTCGCTGACAACAGCTTGCAAGTTGGACAGACTGGAAAGAATGTTGCGCCGCAGCTCTACCTATGCGCTGGTATCTCCGGAGCTATCCAACATTTGGCTGGTATGAAGGACAGCAAGGTCATTGCTGCCATCAACAAGGATCCTGAGGCACCAATCTTCCAGGTTGCTGATGTTGGTCTTGTTGGCGATCTCTTCGAAAAGGTCCCCGAGCTAACAGAGAAGCTCAAGTCGCAGTAGAAAAAATATACATATCGAGTATTAGGCATGTAAAATAGTTATGATAACCTTTCCCTGGGACCGAAAAGAAGTGCAGCGTTCACTGTGTATTTGCTAAGTCTCTTAGGGCCCATAGGCAGCTTACGTGACACTGACATCTTGGTTGGCTAACTCAACACAGGAATTCATAATCTTGGCGTGTATGAAACGAACAATTGCAGGTTCAACTCATTATGTCTCTTTCCACGATTACAACAAAAACAAAATTAATTCCAATATGCAAATGTCTGACAATACTTGCAAAAGCTACCAGGGATATTCTCAGACCAAAGCCGTGTACTCCCCGTACACAAGATACAACATAGAAATCTTGTGGCTATGTATTTGCGCATGCACTCGACACATGTCAATCATGTGTGCTTCCTCAGCTCAGTCTAGATTCAAAGTCTTGGCGCACGTCAATAGCTGATCGTCCTACACCAATTGCCCTTGTCTTGTGCCTCGTCTCCACTTCCAATCGAAAGCCGACAAGTCCGGCGCGTTCGCTGAAGGTACGGTCAGCGGATGCACGCGCGTGTACGAATATGTGAATACTGCACAGCCTTTTCCTTCTCTTTTTTGTACTTGCTCCCCTTTCTTTTTCCCCGTGTTATCTTTGCTAATCTCAACTTACCCGCCACCCAATAGCGAGCGACACCTCTTCTGGTCACCTGCGAAAAGTGTTCCTTGTCATTCGCAACATTATTATATTTGCACTTGCACGCCATCTGAAACGACTCGTTGCCTTGTGACTTTCATCTGAAAGATAACAAGTTTCTGCCGTCTCCTAGAGTGCACGCCTAGCATTTCGCTGTCGCGACGGTCTAGGATCTTCTCCAGGATTCCTTATTATAGTGCATTCGATCAGCACTCATTACTGTGAATTCTCCTGCATCGCTTGTTGCACCCGGTGATGAATGTAAACACGGCTCACCGAAGATGCAACATGAAGACGAAAAGTCGAATCGGCCTACCCGCTCACAACAGCAGACCGAAACGAACATGACCAAAACTCCAATGAATGAAGAAAACAAGAGGAAGAGATGGTGGAACATATGGAAGAAATGGGAAGAAGAAGAAGCCGACTGGTGGTTTGCGAGCACTGGTATCCCCCTTCTAGCCGCTACTCTTGGGCCACTGGCAAACGTGAGCTCCATCGCTGCCCTGGTAACGCCTTGGAGACAGAGGAATATCATCAATGGTGAAGTATTGTCCGATTTTGAAGGGGTGCCATTTGGCGATCCGCGATGGTAAGTGAGTCTTTTAGCCAAAACTGGACGCATCCTCCAAAACCACTAACAAACCCGAGCTGATGGAATCAAGGTGTTACTTGATCAACGTCGCTTCCCTGATTTGTGGGTTCCTCGGAAACATATTTCTTCTGCTGAACTTTACGCAAAGAATTCGATATATTGTTGCTCTACCGGCCACTGTAATACTCTGGTATCTGTCATCTGGCTTTCTTATTGCGATTACCATATGTATGAACATATACGCACCGCCTCTGCGTCCGCAAGAAACATACACCCAAGGATTCTGGTACGCCATCGCAGCAGCCGCCTTCTATACTATATGTTCCATGATCCTCATGGTCAATATGCTAGGTTACTTTCTAGGCCACTACCCAGAAAACTTTGCGCTCAGTGACAGCCAACGGACACTCATCCTGCAGACGATGGCATTCTTTATCTGGCTGGCTGGTGGCTCCGCAGTATTTGCCAAACTTGAACAAAATGCTGGCAACGATAGTTGGCGCTTCGCGGATGCCCTGTACTTTTGCGATGTCACAATTCTCACAGTTGGCTTCGGCGATATGGTACCATCAACTGCTGCGACTAGAGGTATCGTCTTCCCTTACTCCGTCGGGGGCATCGTCACCTTGGCCCTTATTGTCTCTTCGCTCTATACCGCAGTACGCGAGTTGGGTGATGAGAAGATTGTCCAGAAGTATGTGGACCGCCTGCGCGAAAGCGTCGTCGAGCGTACAGTGACCAACTCCTTCGATCTTCGTCATCGCGAACACACCGCCCATCATCTCATCAGAAAGCGCAAACTTAGACCCCCTAAGATATCTGCACCAACTGAACTGCGACGTTTACGCAAACCCGTGGATGAGAACGCCAATCATACCTCGGCACTCCCACACATTACCCACGCTCTCGGCATGAATTCGAAAAGAAGGCTTCTAGTTTTAAAAGAGGAGAAAGATCGATTCGAAGTCATGCGCAGGATACAAGAGGATTCTAAGAAGTTCAAGCAGTGGATGGCCCTTTTCTGGTCCACCACCACATTCTTGATCCTTTGGTGCATAGGTGCTCTTGTGTTCACAATAACTGAAAAGGACAGTCAGGGACTAACGTATTTCCCCGCCCTCTATTTCTGCTACGTCTCCTTGCTCACCATTGGGTACGGAGATTTAGCCCCAAAGACCAATTCTGGACGGTGCTTCTTTGTCGTTTGGAGCTTGATCGCCGTCCCAACCATGACCATCTTAGTCTCTAATCTTGGAGACACGGTGGTGGCAAACTTCAAGAAATGGAGCGATAAGTTTGCCGACTTTACCGTGTTGCCTAAGGCAGGCATATGGCGCTCGTTTCTTGACAAGCACCCCTGGCTTCTTCAGTGGTTACAACGCTTGACAGAATACCATACACGTAGGAAGCGTTTGAAGAAGGGATTCGAAGTCGGGGTTGTCGACAGCAATGGCTCAGGTCCTCCTAACGTTGGTGACAACGACGCCGGTCCCTCTGAAGATGTAGAAAACCCGCGAGACAGCGACAGAGCTGCTGAAGAATCTGAGGCAACTCCAGAAATCTCGCTTCCTCAAGCACCGACTGGTGCATCCATATCCCGCCAGCTGGCGCTGTGTATCCAAAAGGTCTCGTTTGACCTGAGAAAACCAAACAAGCGGTATAGTTACGAAGAATGGGTTGAATTTACACGCTTAATCCGCGCAACCCACCCAGAGCGTCTAGATCGCTATCTAGGTATCGAGTGCAACTCAACAGACGATGAGAACGAGGAGGGATTGGTGAACTGGGATTGGCTTGGTGAGCATAGCCCTTTGGTCTCTGGAAACAGCGAAAGTGAGTGGTTGCTGGAGAGGCTTGTAGAGAGTTTGGTAAGATTGGAAAAGAGAAAGGAGGTCGCAAGGCGAAGAAGAGATATTGGGGTGTTGAGGAATATAGAGGGAAAGAATGGAGAAAATGGCTGAATGGATAGTCGGCAGTGGTGGTTCTGTACATCTGAAGGCTGAGCAAATATTGGCATACGCAATTACAATTCTTGAGCATCAAATGCAAACATGTGTGATAATTACGCTGCTACGGGGTTACTTACAGAATGGACATGAATGTGTCTGCCTTGCACTAAACCAATAACATCTCGGCTGGAATTTGGTACAAGCTCTTGGCCATACCTTTGCCTGCATGTGAAGCGGAGCGAGTCGGCTTCAGTGCCCGTGAGCATGGTTGGATTTGGCAATGATATGCGATTTATCGCAGAGCCAGCCACAGGAAGAAAAGGCCAAGATTTCCCACTGAGGCGCATACATATTGCGGAGTTGTGTGAACCCGGGTCCAAGGAGGCTGTAGGAAGCCTAAGCGCCCATGTTGTCGGACTGTCGGCGGTTGTTACGCACCTACATGCACGGAGCCTTATTTTTAGAATTTGAATATACAAGATCATCAACCAAAACTCTGCACAAAAGCACTAGTGGAACATGTTTACTGCTGATCAGTCTGGACGCAAAGTTCGGAAACCTGAAGCAAAAGCGTGAACGGACGAGCGCAATGGCCATTAATGACGCCTCGCAAGTAGTCGCTCAACTGGGAAAGACTTTGGCTAAGCGAGATGTCCAGTAGTTAGCGTAACCCCTCAATTGCAACAGCTAAACATTGTACGTGTGTACAGCCTGATAGGGAGACATCTGATTCGACACTTACCCACCGCTATGGAGACAATCATACTAAGCTGGCATTGCAGACCGACCCCTGCTCGCAGTTCTCGTCTGCTTTGTTGTGCATGAGTCCTATCAGACCATAATGCCAAGTTGGATAGCGCCACCTGTTTGGGGGCGTACATAGACGAGATACGCGCTATACGACATGGAAGAAACAACCGACTTTCAGGCACCAACTTTTGCCCCCTATCTGATTTGTCTCCCTTATTTAATACAATGAGTCCTCGGCGCAAGATTATAGCCTAACTGTGTCTTGTCCATTCACACCTCGTTGTTATCGACTTTGCAGCTGCGGGTCGACCGCCACACCCCCTTGCAGTTGACCTTTAGGGAGGGCACACTACAACTACGACCCAAACCCCTACATCCCAGAATATGGGGAAAGAAAGCGTCATAGAACCCATGGATAATGGAGGGGCGGTCTCTACGAAGCCAAAAGAGGCTTCTCAAGATGGACTAAAGAACTACTTTGTAAGTAATGCTGATTGATCTGATGCTCCATCTAACAAAGGAAAACCCAGCGTGTCTTTAGTTACGGAACGCGTCTAGATTATTTACTCATCCTGATTTGTTTCGTTACCTCAATCGGCTCGGGCATCGCTTTCCCCCTGATGACTGTAGTCTTTGGTGAGTATCCATCAACAAAAAAGAAGTGCAACTTTTCGTCCCGCTGACTACATTCAGGCCAACTTGTGGGAAAGTTTACCGATTACTTTACACCAGGAACAAGCGTCACAGCCTCTGAGTTCCAAGATGAAGTTGATGACTTGACACTGTATTTGTTGTATCTCTTCATCGGCAAGTTCGTTTTGTCCTATGTGTCGATGGTAAGAGAAACCATCTTCTAATTGCAAGTTCAAATAATGACCACATCACAGCTCACGATCCGGATCAGTGGCCTCCGAATTTCGGCTGCGTTACGTCTGGCATACATACGAGCTTTGTTCCTACAGCCTGTTAGTGTAATCGACACTGTCAGCCCCGGAAAAGTGTCCACGCGAATTACAACCTCTGCAAACACGGTCCAAGTCGCTATATCACAACAACTTGCTATGATGTTTCAGGCATTTGCCTTTGTGATCGGAGCATACGTTGTAGCATTCATCCAAAGCCCATTGCTCACCTTGGTCGCATCAGCCTCATTGCCCTTCATCCTGATACTCATGGGTATCATTATCCCTCCATTTACGCGCATACATAAAATCACCGAAAAGTACAGCGAGGATGCGTCTGCTACAGCTTTTGAAATATTCTCTTCCCTACGCGTCGTTGTTGCTTTTGGAGCCGAGGCGAAGCTGGCACGACAGCACGAAGAATTGCTGGTCAAAAGTGCGAAGAACTTCAAGAGGGCTGCTCCTCTCTCCGGACTCTTTTTTGCACCTATGATGGTAGGACAATATGGTACGATGGGTATCGCTTTCTGGTTTGGTATCAAGCAGTATTCTGAGGGGAAGAACAATAACGTTGGTACCATTGTTATCGTTCTGTTCGCAGTCATGATGGCAGTCGTCAATTTTGGCAGAGTCGTTACCCCAATCATTGCTGTCGTCAAGGCATCAACAGCCGCCGCAGAACTGTTCAGGACAATCGATGCGCCGGTTCCAGATGTCTCGGGATTGAAAGAGCCCGATGTCACTGCCAAAGCCAACATTACATTCGAGGATGTCGCCTTCTCCTACCCAAGTAGGCCAAATGTTCCGATTCTCCAAGGACTAGGTCTCGAATTCAAAGCCGGCAAGGTTACAGCTATCGTTGGTCCATCGGGAAGTGGTAAGTGGTTTACATCAGCAAACTGCTCTTAGTACGTGACTGACATCCTATTTCAACTGTTAGGAAAGTCTACCATTGTCGGTCTAGTACAGAGGTGGTATGATCTCGTCGGAACAACAGCTTCACCCACGCCAAACGATCTCCCTGTCGACTCCTCCGCCACCTCAACAACCCACACTGAACCCAACCAAGATGAGACTCCGAAGAAGTCTGGATGGTTCAAGAAGCGTGCCGTTAACGAAGGCAAAGATCAAGAGAAACAAGAAAAAGTGGTGAAGGACGAGAAGAGTAAGGAGGGCGAGCCCGATCTTGGCCCCAACACTTGTACTGGCACCATAAAAGTCGGGGGAACTGATATCAGAAACATTGATGCAAAATGGTGGCGCTCTCAGATTGGTATCGTCCAACAAGAGCCATTCCTCTTTAACGACACGATCTACAATAATGTCGCATTTGGTCTTACCGGAACAAGATATCAAGATTCATCGAAAGAAGAGAAGATGATTATGGTAGAAGAAGCATGTCGCGAAGCCTACGCAGACGAGTTCATCTCTAAGCTTCCAGAAGGCTATGAGACTCTGGTAGGTGAGAGCGGCATCAAGTTGTCAGGTGGCCAGCGTCAGCGGATCGGAATCGCAAGGAGTATCATCAAGCAACCGCCCATTTTGATCATGGACGAAGCAACCAGCGCGATTGACGTACGAACAGAACGCATCGTACAACAAGCACTCGATCGCGTGTCGAAGAACAGAACCACCATTGTAATTGCTCATCGTCTCTCAACAATCAAGCGGGCGGACAAGATTGTTGTTCTACGCAAAGGCCAATTGGTAGAGCAAGGTACTCATGACGAACTATTGAATATTGAAGCAGGAGTCTACTTTGGCCTAGTTCACGCACAGAACATTGCCATGGAAGCCGAGAATGAAGACGCCGACCTGGAGAGAATCAATACTGCTACTAGTGAAGTCGTCGAAGAGAAAGCAAAGAACAACAACATTTCCGAAGAAAAGAACCTGGAATACAAAGAGAAAGGTTTGATAGCCAGTTTCGGGCGCCTGCTCTTCGAACAACGTCACCACTGGATTCTGTTCAGCTTGGCTATCTTCGGGATTCTAGCCAGCGGTGCTGTTTGGCCACTCCAGGCCTGGGTCTTTTCCCAAGTCATCAACGTCTTTACGCTTCCGAGAGACCAACTTGTCAGTGAGGGTAACTTCTGGGCCGGTATGTTCGGAGTGCTTGCCGGAGGCACATTTCTGTCATACTTTGTTATGGGATTCGCGTTTCATCTCATAGCCACACAAGTCTCGCTGCAGTACAGGCAAGAATATCTGTACAACTTGATTCGTAAGAGGATCTCTTTCTTCGATGAGGAGGGGCATAGCCCGGGATCTCTGACGTCCAGAGTGAGTTCGGACACTACGCAGCTTCAGCAACTCATGGCAACCGAAATGGGCATGGCGCTCATTGCTATCGTCAACGTTGTCGGATGTGTCATCATCTCCTTTGTCTACGGGTGGAAGCTATCTCTCGTCGGTCTCTTTGCTGCTTTGCCACTCATTCTAGCCGCGGGATACCTCCGCATGCGTCTAGAGCTCGAGTTCGAAAAGAGCAACGCAAAGATCTTCGAGGACAGCAGTCAGTTCGCTGCCGAAGCCGTTGGAGCCTTCCGCACTGTGCTCAGTCTTATCATGGAAGACATGATTGGCGACCGGTACGAGACTTTGCTGAGCACTCACATCAGCAACGCCTTTTCCCGCGCAAAATGGGGCACGCTCGTCTTTGCAGGGAGCGATAGTATCGAACTAGCTTGTATGGCGCTCACGTTCTGGTACGGCGGCACATTACTTGCATCTCGCGAGTACAACAACGTCGACTTCTTCGTCATCTACCAAGCCATCATTTCCGGTGCTGTCGCAGCAGGCATGTTCTTTTCCTTTGCCCCAAACATGGCTCAGGTAACCGGCGCTGCCAATCGCATCCTGAGCATGCGTCCACCCCCAACCAGCGGCTCAACTTCCTACCCGCCTCTCAATACGTCAGAACAAGGCATCGGCATAGAGTTCCAAAACGTCTACTTCACCTACCCATCCCGAGAACTCCCCGTCCTCTCAAACCTCAACATCCAAATCCAACCCGGCCAATTCGCCGCCCTCGTCGGCGCAAGCGGCTGCGGCAAATCCACCACAATATCCCTCCTCGAACGCTTCTACGACGCCTCTTCCGGCCGCATCCTCTGCAATGGACAAGACATTACGACGCTCGACCCGTCCGAATACCGCAAGCAAATCAGTCTCGTAGCCCAAGAACCCACACTGTACGAAGGCACAATACGAGAAAACATTGCGCTATCCGTGGACGCGGTGTCAGATGCGGAAATCGAACAAGCATGTCGCGACGCCCAGATCCACGACTTTATCACATCCCTGCCAGATGGCTACACACAGCGCCTAGGTCCAAAGGGTATGTCGCTGTCCGGCGGCCAGAAACAGCGTTTATCACTTGCTCGCGCTCTGCTTCGTCAACCCAAGTTGCTCCTTCTCGACGAGGCGACATCGTCTCTCGACTCGGAGTCTGAAAAGTTGGTCCAAGAAGCGATTGAACGGGCGGCAAAAGATGGACGCCGCACTATTCTCTCTGTTGCGCATCGGCTTGCGACGATTCAGAAGGCGGATATTATTTTTGTGCTGGGGAGTGGGAAGGTGTTGGAGAAGGGGGATCATCAGGCTTTGTTGAAGAAGAGGGGGGTTTATTGGCAGATGGTGAGTTACAGCCTTCTTACTATGTATGTTATTGATGATGTGTTAACGACTGGTGTAGTGTCAAGCTCAGGCTTTGGATGCATAGATATTCTTCATCCCATATATTGCGACAACTCTTTTTTAAATAATCATAGCCAGTTATTTTATAGTTCTCACCTCATATACTTTAAACCAACTTAAAACAACTTACCTTGTCGCTACTTACTCATGTCATACTTTTCTCATAGTAGTTTTCGCCGAAAACAGACTAGCCCGGATCGCTCCCGAAAAAAAAAAGTCAGGCTCTGGTCATACCCAAAAAAAAAACTTCCGGCACAACCCATTTCTACGCAGACAGTACTGAGCGACTCTGAAAGACACAAAAAAGAAAGCCCGACGTGGGGGTCGAACCCACAACCTTGAGATTTGAAACAATCGTGCCTTTGAGGGCGTGATAACTAAGAGTCTCACGCTCTACCGATTGAGCTAGCCGGGCTGTTGTTGCTTTCGATGAAGAAACATTCATGTCGAACGTATATATTTCAAGTAATCTTGCAATGGCCATATACTCGAAGCCGGAGTTGTAGGCAAACATTTTTTGGAAGTAAAGAGGAAAATTTGCTGGGGTGCCATGCAGAAATTTTTGCCAATGACCGAACTACCCGCCTCTTTCTTGCTGGACCCTGGGATCCGCCAATAATGATGCTCAGTTGTACTGCTAGATCCTGGTTCTGGTCGGGAATGTTGCCTCACTGGCATCCTCGTTCAGAATCTCTGTAACTACATTTTGATGCTGAATAGAGAGGCGAGCGCTGTAGAGTCTTTTTTCTTGCCTGTGAAACCCGGTGAGTTGTTGACCTCCACCTCGAAGACGAATGCGTCTGCCCTGGGGTATACAATCCACGTCATGTACCCTGCACTGATATGCTTGGTAAGTCATGGTTCCGTTGTAGGTAGTGGCTCGGGATACAGTCCCTATGCTTGTTGGCTAGATATGCTTCCTGCAGCAGCAATATCAGTATGCCTCCCGCGCTGAGAGCGGGATACTACGTATTGTAACCGAGGTAAGCGCGTACGATGGTGGCGGCAGAGCTCGGCGACTGTATTCCAACATGCGCAACTGAATGCATCAATATGGATGCCTATTCAAAAGATGATTACAAGGATGTTAGTAGCGTGTGAGTAGTATTGCGTTTGCTTGACATCACAGATGCGAGTGGTGGTGTTTCAGCGCCGCGCTTATGGCCGCGTCGAGTTGATGCTTGGCGATGCCTAGAGTTGGCCATGTTAGCGAATGCGAAGAAGATGTGTACTCATCAGGCATCGATGATGGCTCGTAGATTGTAGGGTGATAGGCTCTCAAGGTGCATGTGTAGAGCGCGTAGGTATGGGTTGCATCCCTGGTGGATCACGAGTCGAGGGTACACCTGGCCGTTCTAGCTAGTACTACATGCAAGTGTTATGACGTCAAGGTCAACTTCGCTTGCATATTTCCATCGCTTCTTCAATCAAATTTGTAGTTGTCTTCACCAGGTTCCACTTCAAGCTTTGGATTAGATCAACTGCCAGTCGTGAATGGTGGTATTATATACCAACAATGCAATGGCAAGCGAGAATACCGTGAACACAAAATACGGGAGATTTATGGATAGCAAAGAGACAGTATAAGAAATATTCAATGAAAGAGCTAACGGAAATACAGTTTCCTTGCGTGTGGCCAATCAAGAGCAGACGTCTATCTATACCTTCACTAGTCTGTGCTACTAAAGTCACGTTAGACTAGCATAATCAAAATCACGATCGCAGACTGTAGGAGTAGACCCATTCCCAGAGTCCTGTACAATTTTGATGGCGAGCATACAAACACATGCACTGCACAACAAATATGATGTCAGAATAAGGTGAGACGTCTGAGCCTGCACAGTCCCGACTTCGATCCTGAACCACAGCAGCCCAAATGAAAAGGCCAGCGATCACAAAATTGGCTTGACCGATGTAGGCGGTGGGCAGATCTATCTCTCAACCCGACCTAACCGATAGGCAGCAACTTTTAACATATCGGCTAAACCCTCACTCTCTGTCGATCCATGGACACGTGTTATCGGAAAAAGTATCCCAGGTCTCGATACCTATCAAAGCCACCTGACTTCTTCTTGTCTTCGTCACCAGCAGGCTGTGTTCCCCAATGACTCGTCTCGATACCCTCTACTCGGAAGCACGATAGCCGCATAGCCAGTACATAACAAAGGGATCTAAGCCACATCCCAGCGCAGCCATACCTTCCTAAACAATCACACCAAGACCGTTAGGCCCCAGGGCCCTCCAGAAACGGTTTATCCCGTACCCGACCCAATGGGTCTCACGTATTCATGCTCAGGAACACCGTAACCTCAGTTAGGCCTCCAGAATCGGACTATCCCGTCTTACTACCGAGAAAGCTTAGCCCATATCACGTAGTATGCGTACGCGTCCATTTCGCTAACCCTTGCTGATGCATACCACGAGGTTAAAACAGGGCCCTTGTATATGTTGTTCGGATCCTTGGGGTTGGTACCGTGGTGGGTAGCACAGCCTAGATGTTGCTTCTCCGCGCAGTGTTCCGATGCCTAGATTGATTACAAGAGGGTTTGTAATATCGGTTTTACTACGGACTAAGGGGATTAGAAGGGATTATGTCATTCTGCATATGGAAGCTGGTTAACTATACCGTTGTTTTCATTTCCAGGGTACGACTATCGGTCTTAATCGTGAGGAATACATCTTATAATAGAGAAACACCTTCTAAATGCATCATTAGGTAGTTTCTAATCGCCCATCACGCAATTTATATGTAAATCTTGAAATCAATAATCTCGGTCAATTGTACGTGCGAGTGAAAGGGATTTGCAGCCAACACACGTATACTCATGCAAAGTATTGTGACCAAAAATCTACGTCACCAACACGCGATGCAAGCAAGTTCCAATACCCAAGCGAAGCATAGCACACATACATCCAAAAGTGAACACATACGTAGGCACTCTCTACATTCCCATCCTGCAACACGTACAATCTCCACCACCAACGCCCAATCTCAACTTCCGACCTAAAATCCTTCCACCCAAAACATACATTCACACATGCAGGAACGCGTACCTCACCCCCCCCCCCACCCCCCAAACTCCAAAAAAGGCCAACCCCTAGTCTCCAGGCAACCATCCAGAACCCCAAAGGCCCTTCTCCAACCCCTCATCCCACTCCCAAACCCTCACCCCAGAAACCACCTTTCTCCGGTCCCGTTTCACCATAACAAAAAAAGGTACGTACCCCCCTTATCCGACAGATGCAACCAATGAGACAAGAACTGCGATGTCGTTGCCGTGCCCGATGCTACGCTGGGTACTACACTAGCCGGGGGAGGCAGAGATGAGAAAGATACCATATAGTCCCGATGATGGGAATATGAGAGAGCAAGGGGGAGCAAGATATCTTGGCAAGCGAAAGTTTTCCGTGCCCAGGGGGGGGAGGTTCAAACAGTCCTATCACGGGGTTGCCGATGGACAAGGGGGTGGGTGCGTTGCGGGGGGTGGTTTTTTGCTGGGATGGTGCTTGTTCGGGCCATGTGGAGTAAAAGAGGGTAGTAGCGTGGATTGGGGATTTGGGGGGACTTAAGGGTGGTAATATAGAGGTTTTGGGATTGGGAGGAAGAAGACGGAGCGGGTTGGGATTGGTGACTTGTAAGTTTTGTTTACGTGGCGCATGCTGTGTTTACGAAATGAAGAGGGAGAGGGGGTGCTTGTCAAAGGGCGTGTGTGCGTTGTGGTGTCATGTGGATTCACCTGCTAGTAGGAGTAGTAAGTAACCAATCGCCAACTAGTACCTATGCTCGCCAGTAGTAGATCGCAGAGGGCAGATAGTAAGGAAATGTTCGAAGCGACAAGCCATCAGGCGCCAGTAATTGTGTGTGGCATGGGCGGCGCGGGTCAGGCTTCATTGCATGTTCCATGCATATACAATGCACCATGCATGCAACTTCCGCGCGACAAAAACGGCTCAGGCTGTTTCCAAGGCAGAAATGGCCCAAAGCGGTAAAGCATAAGTTAAGTTAGAAAACGATCACACGAAAAAAAAACACCGTGTCAAAAGGTTATTTACCCGTTTGTCAAACGCGTTGAAAGTGGATCGTAGCTTTGGGATTTTTTCCCGGGTCCGTGGGCGTTTTGCGTGGGTTGCCTGATTCTCCTTGGTGAACAACCTGTCACATGTCATCCATCAAAGTCCGTTAGCAACTACTTATTAAACCGGGGGGGGGGGGATGGAGGGAGGGGCAAGACACGCGATATTATTACCACTGGTTAAATCGTGGGNGGGGGGGGGGGGATGGAGGGAGGGGCAAGACACGCGATATTATTACCACTGGTTAAATCGTGGGTGCATGAAAAGAAAAAGAATAAGAGGGGAAGAATACTTAGGGCAATTACCCAAGTTTAGCGTTAATTTTCCCGTTTTCTTGTCCGAGGCGTTCCATTGTTTTTTGCAACTCGGGGTTTGAGGCTGTGCAGCATCGCGTGTTTTCTGCACACCTTTCCCCCCCTGGGTGCCCCAATCAGCTGCAACCATTTCCAGGTAGGAAGAGGGTTAGGGGACCTTGTTGCACATCTTCCTTGAAGGATTCCTTCCCACAGGCTAGTTATTTTACCAGTGGGTAGTGTGATGAATGCAAGTGATGAATGTAAAGTGATGCAATGTTCGGTGTGTGGGTGTGTTTATTTTTGGTAAACAAACGGAAGGAAGCTAAGATTTGCTGCGGGCCGCCTAAACGAGACATGGATAACATGCAAGGAAGAAGGAGAAGAAAACAATGCCGTGGATAGGCGGAAACAAACACCGTTACAATGTTGCATTACAGGATTCAAGAAAAAATGCCAGTGAAGAGTCACACTTCCTTTGTCAACCTCCCTCTGCGACTACCTGCCCAATTACATAGCTAACATATTTGCACAAATCTAATCTACGTTCAAATGAAAGATGCCAAGCCTGTTTCCCCTGTCCGTTCCCTGACCGGTTTTGCACAGCCTCACGAAGGGTAATAGGAATATTGCGAGTTTCTAGGATCCTGATACATTGGCGATGTTGTCTCGATATAATCCTGCTGACCAGACGTTCGACGTGGCGGCCCATGTGGCATTGTGCCATACGGAGCGTGGGCCGTGGGGGCTGTGTAGACTGGACTTCGCGATATGATTGGTTGCTGGGCAAGTTGATAGCTGCTATAGCCCTGAATCGAAGGGTTTATGGATGCGCCGCCGGTGTGAAGCGATGGTGATGAAGGGTGCATGTACGAGGTCGTTTGATCCCATGGTGAAGGCATGTTTGGGTTTATTGGTGGTGGCTGGGTGTATCCGTATTGAGGCAGGGTTGCTGACGACTGGTGGATATGTTGGTCGGCTACAGCGGTAGGCATGGTGTATGCTTGTGAAGAGGACCATGTTGAGTATGCGTCGTTGTCGATACTTGACCACGAAAGGCGATGTCCTCTCGGTGACGGAGTGTGTAGAAGGGAATCGTACATTGCTGAGTTTGGAGATAGATAACCATCGTCTTCTGGGTAGTTGGGGAACGGAGCGGGTGTACCACAATCGGATGGAGAGCTTGGAGCGTTTGCGAGAGTGATGCCTTGGTTCTGATACCGCCGTACCAAGACTGTGTACCTGTAAATTGTTAGCCAATGTTCCATGGTATTTCTGCAAGAGCATACCGATTCTTGATATCGTTCTTCGATCTTTCTGGGAAATGCTCCCGTTGAATATCCTTCCAATGGCGCCCAAGTTGCTGAACCGCATCAATCAACTCATTGTCCTAAGATACAGAGTCAGCACACGAGAGCTACTCAATCTCTCCAAGATTATTCCAAACTAACATCAGTCTCTTGCCATTCGCTCCGGTCTAGATTTGGATCGAGTGACTGCTGCCACCGCTTTGCACATTCTATTGATGGTCAACAAGACAAGCTGTCAGCAAGATACGGAAATACTTACGATCTGCGCTCCTTGTTCCCACACAGTTTGCTATTACTGTCCATCTAGTGGTACTCTGTCAGCAGCTTCATAGGTGATGTTGTCATTGTGGCCTACCTTTGGCCGTGTTCTTCAACTCCTCTTGCTAGTAAATCATCCTCGCTCTTTGACCATTGCCCCTTCTTGAGCCCGCCTGCCACAGAGTTGTGCCACCGTTTTCGACAGTCTTTGTTTGTTCGACCAGGGAGACTATCAGCAATTCTGCACCTGTGTGACCAGTCAGATTAGGGGCTTCTATCGTACGATGTTGGAGCATACCAATCTTTGACTTCTCCTTCTCTCACTAAAAAGATGTCAGCCATTATTAAACACCATGATCACAATCTGAACTTTAGAAACAGAGAAAATGTAGTGTTTATTGAGAATTGTAGGAAACCAAGACCCACATTGAGCTTCAACTCCTTCTCTTAGCTTCTGATCTTCTGATAAAGACCATTTTCTGGGAGGGTGACTATGGGACCCCATTGGCGGTTCAATATATTATATTCAAAGGCGTTTCTTTGGGCTGGCCAAGACTGTGAGAAGGTGCAAAGAGGATATGATCTGGTAACACGGCTGGGATAAGAGGTTGGCAGAAGGCGTAGTAGTGTCAAAAGGGCTTGGAAGAGTAATGAAGATGACTAGGCGTATCTGAACCTAGATGGTACAAGATCTACCTTGGTTTTAAGGCGCAAGCGAATACTACCACGCCCATAGTCTTGGCGGGCCAGGCACTTGGCTATGGCAGAAAATAGACGGCAGAAGGTTGCAAAGAAGCGTTATGCCAAGACGTGGTATCCTAGGTCACTCCTCCATGTGGCTAGTGAGTGCGTCGACTAGGGGATGGGCCATGTTGAAACTGTTCGGTGATTTACTGCAGACGCACTTGAAGGAGGCTTTGCCATAATGACGCGTGCGCACAGTGCTAATGCATCGACCGACGGGCCACGATGGTGTGTACAGCCCCAAGGATCCAGAAAAGGGTTGGTGGCCTGTAAGGCGAGGCTGCATGGGCCATTCACCGCTAACGAACCGAGGAACACCACAACCAGGTGCCGGTCAGAGGAGCTTGTTGCTCCACAAGCCGTGCCTAAGTGGCTGGGGGCCGCACTGACAACCATGGACCTGACGCACTTGTGGACAATTGCCCAAGTCGTTCGCTTGGCAGGAATAAATCCTCCCTGCGAAGGTGTACATATATCATTGGCCTGTAAGCAATTCCGGAGGATTAAGAGATATTCTGCTAGGGATGGGTGTTGATTGTGTTATGAAGAGCTCGTTCAGGGCTTCCAGTGATGTACGTACATGTTAGTTGAAGTCGCTGAGTTGTTTGGCCATGATTCAGCGCCGTGATGTACACACGAATCGAGTTGCGTGTGCAGTAAATGCTCCACAAATGTGACAACATCAGTCAATGATTTTTGATCTGATGGTCGACTTACGATTTCGAAGAGTAGTCCACAACGCGCCCATGGGTTTTGTCGTCCTCACACACGCTACGGAAGCCAGCCCGAACAAAATGTCGATATCACACAAACCCACTTTGGGTATGATACTGAAGACCGAATCAGGGATGTTATGAGACTTAATCTGAGTTGCAGTGAAACTGTAAAAGATGATCTTTGATTCTGAATTTTATCCTCATTCCATGCCGTACCATCAGATAGTTGGTGAAGTTTGATTGCTACGCGTCAATGTACGTAATTGAGTTGATTCGAAAGCACAAAATGCAAGAAACTAGTGCCCGTGTATCCTAGATAGCAGGACTGAAGATAGAGTTTGGTGCCTGTACACCTGGTGCGGGGAAAGGACCTTGTTCGGCAGGTGCCGCCACGGGAGAGTTTACACTGCGGTATTACTCCGGATTTGCACGCCGAATGTAGCAGATATATGACTGCAGACGATGAGCACATGCTATCCAATCATCTTTTGTGAGAACACGCCCTTTTGTACTCGTCCTCGAGACGAGTCTCCACGCTTGGACCTAGCGTCCCTTGTCAGGGCCGAAGGATAGGTTGTATATGCAGCATGACACAGCAGTATTTAGTGTGTATACTCGCTCAACCACTCGAAGACTTGGGCAAGATGCTTCAGGTTTTGCCCATGAGCCGTTGTGCTTTTGCAAGCAGGACAGTGCTTTCGCGACCCAACTTTCGCTGGCCATTTGGACCTCCCCTTGCTTTTGCCATTGTTTTTCTAAAGCGTTCTCGCTCAGCAGCCTTCTTAGCACGCTCCCTGTCGGCCTCTTCCTTGGCCTTCCGGCGCGCTTCAGCCTCGTCCTTCTTCTTTTGCGCTAGTTCGCTTTCCTTCTGGAAAGGTTGGGGGCGCGGTCGCCGTTGACGCCTCTCGAAGTTCTGTTGGTGCTCTGGTTCAGGCGACTTTTCCTCTAGCAGGACAGCACGGTCGGGGTGTGGCTCCAGAGTGGGCTCAGCAGTGGGTTCGGAGGAAACCTTTTCGCCTTGCTCGGTGCTGGCTTCGCGGTCATAGACTGACTTGGGTGGGTTGACGGCTTCCTTCTCCTCGCGTGCCTTGAGTTTGGCGTATTGCTTCTTGATCTTGGCCTTGTCTATGAGGCTCTTCTTGATCTTCTCAACTGAAGTCACAATTAGCAGCTGCAGAAGGTAGTATGGTTGAAGGCGCAAAAGAGGCGCAGAGCACGCTGCGAAAACATGTCTGGTATTCTGATGCGCCGACTATGTCTAGTGCGCTGCAGGGATGTAAATGAGAAGCGCTTACTTTTTCTTCTGTGTGTGCCATCAGGCAGATTTGCAGGCCCAATGGCGAAACCCTTCTTCTTCTTGGTGTCCTTGCTCTTTGAAGACGGCTTTGCGCCGCCCTCATGCGGTCGTGTTGCGCCCATGGCCAAAGGTGTTTGTGGTGTCGCAAAAGTTTGGATGGGTAAAGGCTAAGATGGGAAAGGCAAAATGGCGCGGAGGTCCGTCGGGCTTGGCAAAGCGGAGCCCAGTGCGGCCGCGAACACGGCGGCGGCGGGGGAGACGAGGGTGTGAGTGCTATGTGGTAGCATGCATGTGATGTGAATGCATGTGTACTTGCATACATACATCGCAGAGTCAAAGTCCCTCGTGTCCCAAGCCTATCCATCGCCGTGTTTCTTCCACACAGACTCAGCCATTCTCCTCCTGCTGTGGGCACGTGCAGCCACCAATGCTCTCAAAACTTGTTCTTTTGTTCGTCGTGTGACCGCGCCCGATGTAGCGCCTCAGCAGTCGCCGCCGCACCAGCGACGTACATAGTTTATCTATCAGCGCCAATGACATATATACGCACCACCTCGGGACACTTCTCGCACCTCGTCATCCGTCCATCCCTTGCGCCACTCACTCACTATTCTCTCTCGCTCTGCACCCCCCACCTCCCGGGCTCCACGGCGTTTCGTCTTAGACCGGGCTCCATGCCTGCGCAATGAGACGGCCACTGGAGCCAGCGCACCCGGGTTAAACTGGAAACTCTTACTCATACCATTCGCCGGGCCAGCAGGTGCTCCAACCGCGACAACAAGGCCATCTCCGCCATCGCGACATTTCAACCCTCATCCTCGTGCTCTCACAACCGTCTCGCGCCTGCACACTTTCGTTTGTATGCTCTGATCTGCTCAGCACCCGTGCCTATGCCGTCCATTGCCACAATCTGCTTCAACCATGCCCATATTTCATGAGCCCAGTGATAGCCTGCGGGCGCCATCAAACTTGCCTGAGCCGGTGACATCCACCCTCCGAAGAGTAGGAACCGCAGAATCGGATGCCGAGGGGGCGTGGAAGACCAGTATGCATGCACAAGTACCGACCACACTTGAATCATCGCTCGACGCGGACCCCGCGTCGCCCAGCCAAACGCGCAAGTCGTCCATATTCGGCCGGAAAGAATGGGTAGAGAGAATCAAAAAGACAAACAGCCCGTCCTGGCTGCAATGGCAGGGTGTGAGTATTGAGTCGCCTGGAGGGCATTGTCGCTACAAGGTTCGTCATTGCCATACCAAGCACATCGCTGACCCTTTTCCCTTAGAGTGACATCACAACCGACCCCGATGCTCCCATCCGCCCCAATTCCCGTGACCGCTCAAGGACTCCTCTCGCCCCTGCTAACGACTTGCAATCGTCACAACCCTCCACTCCCGAATACTTGCGGGACCCCGCAGCCGCAGGTCTAGAGATCCAGCGCCCCCGGTCCGCATTGCACTCCGGTGACTTTAGAGAGAAGCCAGCAGGGTGCGCTTCGAGCAATGACGTCTCAGCTTCAGCTTTCCTCGCAACATCTCCAGTCGTTCCATGGGATCGTTCCTTTCCTTCGGCGGCGTACAATGTGAACCGGCATGACGTCTCATACGTTGACCCACGCAACCGCGACAATCGCACTGCTCCGCGCTCACGAACGACATCACGGTCATCGCTTAGTTCGATAACGCTTTTGCCTCCCACAAGCCCGCTCGTACATGAGGCAAATAATACAGATTTGGATTTCTCTTCTAGGCCGAGCTCACGTCAGACATCTCCAAGCCCTAGTAGGAACAATCGCCGACACACATATTCTCCTGCGTCTTACCACGGCTATCAGTCTACCCACATGGCGCGCTCTACAACTGGAACACCCGCTGCTCGTCATCTACGCTATAGCAGCTCGATACCATACCAAGCGCATCAACCTCGGCGGTCATCGACAATCAATCACTCAGAACCCCAATCCTTTTCTCAGCCACAATTCCTCAACCCGCGACGGCCTTCATTCTCATCCGAGGCATCTCCACTCCAGCACGCACCCATGGTGGGCTCATACGAAGAGTCTATATTGCGAGGACGCATGTCTACCACCCCATCACGGCCCCTTGACTTTGTGGCGAAGATTGGCGTTCTCGGACGAGGGCAATGCAAATCAAGCCTCAAGTGCCCACCTCACGTCACAATTCCGTTTCCTGCAGTCTTCTACAGCTATAATACAGGAAACGGTAGGATCTCGGATAATGAGCCAAGTCCCTATGTTGGCCTCATAGATTTGGAAAATTCACTACCCGCTCCTGACGAAAGCAACGAACCTGGCAAACGCAAGCGACGACACGCCGCACCTGCTCCAGATCAAGATGACCTAGATTTTCGGATACAACTTGGTGACGAAGAAAATTCACAGGCTATAAAAGGAGATCTTCGTCGGAGAGAAAAGAAAAAGCGACGATCCACGTCACCAAAAGCACCTCCTGGGGGCTGTTATCGAATTCCTCCGCAGGGTCAACTTCAGATTGTTTTGAAGAACCCAAACAAGACGGCAGTGAAGCTGTTCTTAGTCCCATACGACGTGTCAGACATGGAACCAGGCCAGAAAACATTTGTCAGACAGCGCAGTTATTCTGCCGGTCCCATAATAGACATGCCCGCTTCTTCACGGAAAAACCTCGGTACTGATCGTCCAGAAGCTGCCCTCAGCGGTTCGGATGACCCCAACGATCGCCCGATTCTCCGTTACTTGATTCACTTGCATATATGTTGTCCGTCAAAAGGTCGTTATTACCTATATAAAAGTATACGAGTCGTCTTTGCCAACAGAGTCCCTGACGGTAAGGAGAAACTAAGAAATGAGATCCAACAGCCAGAGCCAAGGTACAGTACCTATAAACCAACACGCGACTCGTTGGTATCACAAAAAACTACGTCCACTGGGCCCCAGTTCACCAACGAAGGAGATTTGCGTCGTCGCAGTGCTGGATGGCCACGCTATCACTCACAACAAACGTACGATCAGCTTGACGGCTTGAGCCACCATGCGCCAATGCCTCCTATAGCTGTCAAATTCACAGGTGGTACTACAAACTCATCTGCATCGAGCAGTTTCAGCTCGCACATACCAGATATGCAGCCTATACCTTTCAATATTGGTCGATTGGCTGCAATTGAATCACGATCCGTCTCGCGAGACCACATGGATGTAGATCCGAAGAGCCCCTTCAGAACTCCAGTCACGTCTCCGCGCCCTGGTGGCAAGAGCTTAACGTCGCACGGTGACGGTGCCTTTGAAAAACTGAACAAAGGCGATGTTGGGTACGGCGGAAACGCGTTCTCTCCTATCAGCAGTCCGAACAGCCCCCCCCAGTGCGGGTTTGCTGTCGCAAAAGTTGCGTGGTTTGGACGTTGAGCACAATGAGTAAGCCTGACTGCGGTCTTGATGCATTCATGGGAAACATTCAATCTTTGGTTTTTTGGTTTTAAATTTTCATAATACGGTCACTCGAAGGCGTCTAATACCCCATTACTCTTCTCGTTTCACTTACGCCGGCATTGCTGAATGGCGCTACCACATGGCAGGAGTATAGGACTGTTTGATGGACTCGAGATTCTTGCTAGCTAGTACTTGTAAACATAGTTGGTACGAATATCTACTCACCTCTTCAACTACGCATTGCCCAGCCTTTTGACGGAAAGCTTCCTTGCGCCAGTGCCACTGTCTGCCCTCGGAATGGTTTGCATACGCCCAAGGATGTTAGCCCTGTCGTAGGGCTTAGCGCATATATGCATATTGCCCCAGCGTTCGCGAAGAGTGACGTCGGGATTTAATTTCGTTACATCCGAGGACTTAGCACGCTCTGCTCCGGGTTGCATCATCAATTGTCTCTGCTCACAAAACATATTGCACACCAAATCTTCTAGACTAGGAGCCACGATCCCCTACATAATTCTTTAATTAATTCGCTGCATTGTAAAGCAGCAATGGCTTCCAAACGCGCGGTTCAACTCGGCGTCCGCGCACATGCCTCGGTCATAGGTCGACAAACTTCGCGATTGCGCTTCAATGCTACACAAGCTTTCAGCCTTGCGTTGCGCCAGCAAAGCACAAGCACTTCTAAGAGCAGGTTGTCAGTTTGGGAGAATACCCCCGGTGTGCAATTGGCGCCTGTACAGAAGAGATGGCATTCGCAACAGCCACCCAACCTAAACAAAGTCTACCAGTTTGAGGATGTACGTAGCTTCTTCATGGTTTTTTTCTTGTTTCTTGAGTATTTATATTGATTTTCAAAGGTCCTTCACATTCTCGAACACCCCTCTGACTCTCGACTGCTCATCGACGTGCGCGAACCCCATGAATTCGAGGCCAATACTATCCCTACCTCCATCAACATCCCCGTTACATCGCAGCCAGATGCGCTACTCCTAAGCGAGGAAGACTTCGAGGATCGCTTTGGGTTCCAGAAGCCACCTAAGGGCAAGGAGGTTGTGTTTTTCTGCAAGGCGGGGGTTAGGAGTTCGGCAGCGGCCGGTATTGCGAGACAGGCTGGGTGAGTTGATCCTCTTATGAAGTGACAAACTCCTATGGATGGAGAATGATATATCAGGTTGAAGACTGTTAGAACTAACAAAAGACAGATATCAAAACGTTGGTGAATACCGTGGCTCATGGCTTGACTGGCAGAGACGCGGTGGACCAGGTACAAAAACCCCGCCGAAGCCGGATGGTATTGGAGAGCCCAAAGAGCCTACGACGGAAACTAAGCCCACGGAAAGGACGGGTAGCAGTGGAGAAGAGGATATTGGCACCCAAGGACAGCCAGTACCACCACCAGGGGGCATTGTTACTGGTCAACAGTAAAACAAGCTGTACACAAGCTAAACGGGAGCAGCAAGGTATGGTATAACGCAAGGTCCCTCGAGAGGTGTATATAGTGCGGCTTGTAGATAGCTCAGTAGTACGTAAAGGACATTATATTCATCAACTGCGCGTATGAGACATGACCTGTGGCCCAAATCTAAACATAAATGAGGCATGGTTAATTCGACGCCATTCGAGTAACCCAAATACTCGAACCCTCGTCGCCGATGCCCTCATCCCTATTTACACTCCTCCTCATAACATTTCTTATACTCCGCCCACAACTCCTTAACCCTCTTCCCACAACACTCGCTCCACAACCTCTCTTCATCATACTTCTCCGCCCTCAACCCCTCATTAATCCTCCTCACAACATCCTTCCCATGCGCCTCCTCTAGCCACGCCAGAAAATACCCCGTACGTTCATACCCAGCATCCCACTCACAATCCACATGCCTCTTCCAATGCGGCGGCGCATAACCCGCCTTCAACCGCACCCAATCCGCAATCCCCTCCACGAGACCCCCCGGCGCCGCCCCCCGCCCATCCCACTGCCAACAATGCACCATCTCGTGCACCAGGACCCCCACCATCTCTTCTTTCACGCGCCCCGCGTCGATGCCCGCAATGTACGACGTGTTGAAGTGTATTTCCTTGTGGTCGGAATCTAGGTCTAGTCCCGTGGTGTAGGCTACGCCGTCCATGTCGCGTAGCACGAGGGTTACGGAGCGCGTGGGTGGGATGCTGGTGGCGGGCAGGGAGGTGTAGAGGTGGGTTAGCACGGTGGTGACGGCGGTGGAGAGGGCGTCGGAGGCGTGGAGGAGGCGCAGGAAGGTGTGGGTGCCGGGGCTGGAGAGGTCGCGGAGTTCGAGGCGGAGGAGGGGGGTGCGTGGGGGTGTTACTTTGGGGTGGGAAGAGGATGCGTCGTTGGAGGAAGAGTCTGAAGGGGGGAGAGCGGAAGAGTGCGGGGCGGGTGGGTCGGAAGGGGTGGTGTTGGTGGTGGTTGTGGTGGGTGCGGACATGACTTGGTAGTGTTTGGTAGGCTGCGGAGACATGGGTGGTGTTGAAGTGGACGCGACTTTTTTTCGTGTTTCCCGTGGAGTAGATAGTCGGTGAGCGGGTGGTAAATGGTTTGTAAGGTGTATGAACACACGTGTTTGCTCCTTACATGTTTGAGCACGAACAAGCGGGTTAGGACCATGTGCCGGTACGTGCCGCGGGAGGATGCTCTCCAGCTTGGATAATATAAACAAGCTTTCATGACCACTTCACAACCTTTGTGATGAATCTTGTATTGACTGTATCCTTCTGTGTGTAATTCTATATCTTCAGATCTTGATTAACGGTGTATGGGGTTTCCGATGTTGGCAAGACGTCGGTACTCTCGTTCTATGATCAGGTATACCCTCCAGATTCTAACTCAAGTTCTTCTTTCCTACGAGCTCTTGAATACCTCGGGGAAAATCTTGCGCAATTCCTGTAAACTGCGGATCTGGTACTTGCTGGCGGGTACTTCGGGCGCTGGATCCTTTTCGTCCAGCAAGTGTGCTGTTTTCCATCCTCGTTCCTGAGCCGCTTTGCAGTTGATGTACGAGTCGTCTTGACATGACGTTAGTGACATTCGAAGAAAGCTCGTTTCTCAAATCCAACTCACCAACAAAGTAGCATTTTTCATTCGACTTGATGCCCGCCTCAGCCATAGCCTTTTCGAACATCTCGGCATGTGGTTTGCAGTAGAACTTTTCCGAGCCGTAATCGCAGTAGGTAATTCCTTCGAATAGATCGTCGATTTGTAGCAACTTGACAACGCGCTTGCCGTGGTTGATGTAAGCGTTAGTAAATAGCCACAAGCGGACTTTGCTGGTGTCAATGTCTTCGATCAGCTTGCGTAGTTCCGGGTTAGGCTTGATGACGTCTTCTAAAGGTAACGCATCATCGACTTTGCTGTTGTACTCTAGTGCGTCAACCTTGTGGTGGCGCACGAGTCCTTCAATTGCAAGACCGTACTCTCGGTAGTATCGGAAGTGCAGTTCATTGGCGTCTTGTTGTGATAGACTCAGGTGGTCTTGGAAGAATTTATCTGTAAAAGTTAAGCTGGTGTTTGAGGAAAAGCACAAAACTCCCCAATACGAGCAGAAGGTTAAAGAATTTGACTGCATTATGGAAGTTCAGTTGATATAGAGGGATAATTACCTATCAGTTCGCTCATCATACGGTGGATTTCAAGACCTGATTATGTTAGTGTTGAGTATAATAATTTGGGTACTACAAAATACGCACTCTTTGGATAAAGCTACATAACAGTCAGTAGGTGTTGATCAAACCCCAAGGGCTTACTTACACAATTGTCAATATCGAAAAAGAAGACGGGCTTCTCATTCTCGTCTACAACAGCGGTACCGTTCGCTGGTGAGTCATGTGCGGGTTGCGACCGATACTTCATGGTCTCCGGCGGTGCGGCGGTGTTGAAGTGCATTGTGTCGAGTTAGGGGTTGATGGTCGAGAAGGTGGGTTCGTAATGTTCTGTGAAATGGCAATACTAGAATCAAGAATAGTAAAGATAGTGGTCGGAGTGAGTGGCACTAGAGTATGGAAGATCAATACAAAGCAAGAAGCAAGACGGCGGTGCTGATATGTGATGTCGTCATACCTCTTTATACTAATGCAGAAAACGAGTACCGAAGAGCGTTTCGAAGAACTTCTGTCGGATCGGAACTCGGTCCTTCCCTTTACAGTCATCGAAGGCGCGATGAATACATGGCCGACTAGCACGCCCATTTAGGACTAGTTGGAATTGGCGCGTGCATCACTGAAAACCAAGACGCGCTGCAACTCCATCTCTCTGCATTCCCGCTGGCCGCTGTCGAACCCCTTCCCCTTTACCAATCCTCACACCCAGCTCAGTCGCGGGTGCTGCCTATATTTGTATAATCGCCAACGCTGCGCTTGCTTCTTGGTGCTGGTACTAATTTTTCGGCTTTCCTTTCTGTTGTAATCGCAGCGCAAATGGCTTCAATGTCGTCGACAGCCACAGCGCCGTCGTCGCATTTGAACGGGGCCAGCGCGGTATCTGCAGAGGTGCTTCGCGAGGCTGACTTCCTCCAGAAGATTCTGCAGATACGCGACGAGGTCTTCGCTAGCAAACATCCGCGTATACACCTTCCAGCCAAAGTAATTGAACAGGTTGCACCGCGTCTTCCCCAACCCGCCTTGGCCAGGCCCACGACCAACGGCACGCCAAACGGACCCTCGTCACAGCTGCTTCCTCCGCGTCCAGCGTTGTCGGCGCGGCCCCCTACCTCTCCAATCCACACTACACAGCGACCATATTCGGCCAAGTCTTCGTCATCGGGCATCGATCCTGTCCTGCTCACAAAGTCTGAACATTTGGTCAAGGCAGAGCAGCAGCTCAAGCGACAACAAATAGAACGCGCTCTCAAGGATCAGTTTGACCGAAAGGGTCGCGGCAACGATGTTGACGAGCGAGAAGCTCTCATCGATGTGGAGCAGTGTTTGATCAAGGCTCACCAACTGGTTCCGCCTGTTTCTGGCTTACCATCTACGGCTAACAACAGTGATGGTGTCGAGTCGTTTGACGAGAATTCCTATTATTCTAGCAAGGCAGACAGTTGGTCGCCAGAGCCTGATCACGCTGACCATGCTCATGCTGCTGCAACTCCACTGACCCCGCAAGCGCAACAAACTGCCAAGCAAGTGAATCTCCATACTCGTCCCGCCCAGCCCCCAGTGATCGATCTGGACGAGGAGGCCTATGAGCCGGCTGATGACATAGAAATCTATGAGCCTGAGCCTGCACAAGTGCATGAGGACGGTGACGAAGAAGAGGACTATTCTCCGCCTCCAGCCGATGTTGGTCCTAGTGAACCACCGAGAAGTCGGGGCCGCAATCGCAATGGTGGAACAAACGGGTATGATATTGAATTCTTTCATCTACGTCATTTTCCTTCATTGTCGTTTGAACCGTTCTGGATCCCGGATAACATTCAACGCCAAATGATCGCATGAGACATCAATCCTCCGCTGCTGAGTACCATCCGACTTTGGAAGCCGTACCTTGGCCTGGAAAATATCTTGCACAGCGAATGGAGGCTCTACAGTATCTCTGTATCTGGCACATATATTTTGAGAGTGTTTAGGATTATGCTAATGTGTGTATAGTTCACGCCGTCAGAGTCCAGCCGGTCCAGGGCAATCTGGTCAAAATCCTCGGAAGCGAAGACGAGAAGAAAGGAGACGACAGCAAGCCAGCAAGCAGGTTGCACAATCTCCCGAGCCTTATATCAAAGAAGAGCCGCAATCACCTCCTCCGTTCGGATCCTACTCTGATCCACAGCCCAGTAAGCGTCGTGCGTTACAGCCACAGCCCGATGATTTGGAGGTTGTGTCGGCGCAAGCAAATCCTCGAGCGCAACCTATCTACTATCGCGAGCAGGATCCATTTGTACGTCCTTACCGTGAGCTTGACGAGCCATCCTCGTCTCCTACTGTCATACGCACACCACAACGCAAAGCACTGCGCGACGATCAAGATCTTAGACGGGTTGCGAGTCTACAGTATGCGCGACGACCGTACTCTCCTAGCGGCGAAGGGCAGATGTACGTTGCGTCAGAGCCACGTCAGATGCGGGCAGCATCTCATGCCTTCATCGAGCGCGCAGAAGCGCCACCTGTGTACCGAGAAGCGTCTACACGCCCGCCAGCAGCACCTCGATACGTCCACGGTCGGTCGCGATCCCCTGTGCACGAATACATCTCACATGGGCAATCACCAATGCTCATGGCCCCGCCACCCCGCCGAATTGTTGTAGACCAGTACGGCAACCGATACTACGCTGCGCCAGTGGATGCTCGAGAGTCAATGGCACCGCCAAGTAGGCGCATTGAGGTGGACCCTTTTTACGAGCGTGCTGTTACGCAAGAGCCTAGCATGCGCGCCCCTGCTCGGACAGAGTTGTATGAAAGCGAGACTATACAGAGAATGCCGCCGCCACCTCGACGGTACATTGAAGCGTCAGAAGTAGAGATGATGGAGGGTCCATATCGTCACCGAGAGGCGTCTCGTCGTCCAATAGAAGTGGAACATCGACCTGGGCCACAGTACGAGGAGATGGGACCTCCACGAGAGTATCCTCCAGCGCGATCATACAGTATGCGTCCCGAGGGAGTGCGAAGAGAGATACCCGAGGGCTATGTGCGGCACGAAAGCATACAACCAGTGGCGGTGCGTGGGTCGCAACAACCGCGGTTCCGGGAAGTCAGTGTTGTGTACCAGGAGCCGTTTGAGGAGCACCAGTATATCAGCGCGCCGCAAAGTCGGCGGTACGTCGAGGAGGGGCCCATGGAGGTAGGACCGGAGGCATATGCTGGCGAGGGGCGTCACGTGTATGCGCGGTACTGAGATGTGTTGTTATAAGGTTTGGGCTTTTTGACTAGGTGTTGGGCAGATTGTGTAGCTTGTGTAGCTTGTGTTGTAATGTGAATACGACGGGGCTATTGGATAAGGCGCAGCATGTGAAAGAAGAGAAGGTAGGTTTAGTTGATAGCAATGCATCATGGCTTACCAGGATTGCTGTAGTCGCTTGTTGTGTACTTGTGGATTGTGCCATGATAGAAAAAATGAAGGCATCCAAAGTGAGGGAGAGTAAGAGAGAGGGAGCAAATGGAGGGTAGGCTTGGCAGTGGGCAGGCGGGTGTTTCAGGGCGATGTGGCGCAAGGGTGACGCAGGCCGGGTGTAGAGGCCGACTAGTAGAGGGGTGGTTATACCAGATGAGGTTGGCGGGTGAACATCCGTCATGGGACGGCAGGGGAGAGGGGCGCGGAGGTAATAGTCGGAAGCGTGCAAGTGGGAGGAGCAGCGGGAAGAGGGACGGGCGCCACGAGCAGTGTACATAGGCGCATGTGTAAGTATGTAAGGTTGTATGTGTGTATGTAAAGTAGTTGTAGTGTATGGGGGGGTATAGAAGAGTGTGTCGTGTGCAGGCGCTTGGACTTGCTCTCAAGCCTGTTTCGTCACCGGCACGCGGTGTGTTTCTCATGCATCGGGCCATGCTTGTTTGCCGCGCAAAGAGGCTCGGTCGAGGCGGGATGGCTATGAGCGTGAGGGGGTTTGTACATGTGCATGTGTACATAGATGCTCGTATACACTATGACACGGGGACGAGGGGAGGTGGCCGGATCCCGCGTCATGTCTATTCTTGCTCGGCAAGGCCATGATGGTGTAATACGCAGCGAGTCTGAGCGCCCAGCTATCCTTGTTTGGTCGAGGATGTGCAGGCTCTCGGTCCACCACCCACCACCCACCACACAGCCCAGCTCAACAAGCAGGCGACTCGACTCGGAAGAATCCAAGAATGCAAACAGGAAGCCGATGATGCAACACGCCAAAACAAAGCAGATGCAAGAGACACAGACGACCCACTGCACTCGACGGGCGTAGTCTTTCCCAGCCCCCTCTTCCCCCCTTCTGTCTCCCCCTCTGCTGGCGAGGACCGGCCGGTGTTGGTCGTGGCCACGCAGGGCGAGGTTGCTTTTGGTGTTGGAGGCACGCTGGGGCCCACCATCGCGAGTGCAGCCAATCAGCAGCCCGCTCCGCCTTGCTCGACGCTCGCTCGCCCGCCAGCTGCTGCTGCGCTCCCCATCTTCCTCGTCCTTCTTCCCTTTGCCCTCTCTCCCACCCACCCGACGCCCGCCAACTCCCCCGGGCGTATCCTCCACCACCATGCACAAACTCTCAAATTTCCCGGCACAAGCCCGGCACGGCTGGGAGAAGATGACCCCCTCGACCGGCTTCTCGTTCTCGAGGTCCAACCACGAAATGCCCGTCACAGCTCCGATCAAGCGGCCCTCGACTGCAACCTCAACCCCGCCCGTCATACCCCCCGGCACCCAGGTCAATCTGTCCTTCAACGTGCCCTTTTCTTCCAATCTCGCTGGCCCCGACCCGGACGACATCATGTGGGCCAGCCCTGGGGCAAAAGCGCGATGGACCCATCCGGAAGGCACGGCAGATTCAACGCCCACACACAAACTGCCTGTACACGCCCAAAACGTCGACAACCTGCGCAACCTGTGTCGAGAGGTGAGCGAGCAGACGGACGGACGCGTGTCTGCCGTTGTCACGTCTGCCGAGTCCAAGCCGCTTCCTGGCCTGCAGCGGGGCCCGTTGCGGGCCCTGGTCACTAACGTCTGTCTGTCTGGCGAACTCGAGATTGTCAACTCGATGCGCTGCCGGATCCTCAACTCGACGCCCATTTCTCTGGTAGGCTGCCCGTTCAGACTTGTATAACTGTCGGGCCGTTGCTGACATCTTGGCACAGCGATCATCCTTTGTCGATATTGATTCGCAACTCATCATAGACCCGCCTACGCAAAATGTCCGGGGCGCTGTGCTCAACCAGCTCGATCTCATTGCCAAGGCGACCAAGGCCGACATATTCCTGCTCATGCCCAAGCAGCCAGACATTGAGACGGCCAGCTTCCATGGCAATATCGATACCGGAGCCGACCCGCGCCTTCGATGCGCCATCTACGGAGACCTCGAGACCATGGAGCACGCAAAGACACGAGTGCTGATTATGATCGACCAGATTGTGAGTTCTTGATGCCCCACTGATGTTCTGCTAGCGCTCCATGCTAACGGTATGCCATTACAGCTTAAGCGATGTGTCGATACCATGAAGCTGGAGTTGACCATGCATACCCTGATATGTGGACGTGGACGCAAGAATATCAAGATGATTGAGTCAGCTACAGGCACTGCCATTTACTTCCCCCCGCCATTTCCGCGCTTGTTCGGCTATACGCCACCGGGTGCCCAGCGCCGTCCCGACGATCTAGTCTACATTACGGGAGAAAACTCCGAGAACATATTGCGCGCTAAGCAACGCCTGCATGATCTGGTCATGTCCACCAAAGTCTTCGTGAAGCCCGTCATGGTCACTGACACCAAGCTCGACGCTATTCTGCTCGAACGTCTTGATAAGGTCCGCAAGATCATCGAGAACAATGGATCGTACATCCTGCTCCCTCCTCTTGGTGTTCAGCGTGGTGTTGTGCGCGTACAGGGCACCGACGTCTTGCACGTTGAGCGCACTGTACGCGAACTCATGCAACTTGTAAGTCTCTGATAGTCTGCCACTGTACGCATCTACTTACAAATTTTTAGGCCGGCCAGTTTTACAGTGCATCGTGGTTCATCACTCATCCTGACCCTACGCAACGTCCTCCCACTCCAGCTGACGTTCGTGCTATGCTCTCCGACATCTGCATCAATTCTGGTGCCGAAGTCAGTTTTGAGAAGCTCAACTTCCATATCTATGGGTCTGATGATGCTGTACGAGCTGCTCTCATGGTCATCAGTAACATCCCCTTTGTGAAGAAGTCGCAGTACAACATGAGCGTCAAGATTGAGCTTGCCAACGAACACAAGGAGTTTGTCAGCGGCAAGAAGAATGGCAAGATTAACAAGATTATGAGCCACAGCAGTGTCCAGATTGTCTTCGATGGCTTCAACGAGTACAACTTCTACATTGTAGTCCGTGGTGCTCAATACGAAGCTACAAAGAATGGTTTAGATCTTGTAGAGCAGGAGATGCCCGCATCCATCTCCTTCCATGTACCTGACCAGTACCACAAGCGCATCATTGGCATCGGCGGTCAGCATATCCAACGCATCATGAAGAAGTATTCCGTCTTCGTCAAGTTCTCCAATGCCATGGATCGTGGTGGGTTCGGCAAAGAAGAAGATGACATCAAGGTTGACAATGTCATCTGCCGCACTCCTGCGCGTAACGCTCAGAACCTAGACCTTGTCAAGCAAGAGATCATGGATATGGTTGAGAAGGCTGATGCCGAGTTCGTCTCTGAGACTATCAACATCAACCGCTTGTACCACCGTGAGCTCATTGCCCGCCTAGACAAGATTGACGAGCTAGAGAAGAAGTTTAACTGCAAGATTACCTTCCCTAGCACTGAGGAGGCTAGCGACATTGTTACTGTGTCTGGCCCTGAGTACCAGGTGCCATTCGCAGTCGATGAGTTCTTGGTATTTTTTTGTCCTACAATTCTATCCCAAGACATCCCACTAACCAATATCAGGGCATGGTGCCAGAATCCCACGACCTAGCTTTCCCTTCAACCACTGAGCTTAGCGAGCACATCCGTTCCGCTGAATTCAAGGCTGAGATTCTTGACAAACTCAAGACTCAACATGAGGTCGATGCCCAGCTCCAGCCAGCTCAGACTGAAACCATTGATGGTAAAGAAGAGCAGGTTGAGGCTTTCCACATTGTCTTCACTCGCAACAATGCTGGTGGCTTGAAAGATGCAATTGACTTCTTGCTCAATCACCTCGTCATGCACGGGCTTGATACTAACACGGTTCGTGGCGCGCTTCCACGTCCCAAGTCTGACTCTTTCGAAGATTCCCTGCCCTTCTTTGAGTCGAAGCTTCTACAGCGTGCCGAGCCTGCTGTCGACAGCACGGACTCTCCTACTCGCTCTCACTTTGGTGGTGATGATGAGCCTCGTGGTATGCTAGACCGCCTTCGCAAGCCAGGCAGCATGTCATCGTTCACGTCCATCTTCAACGGACGTAAAAATACCAACTCACCCGGATCGCTCTTCAAGCATGCTTCTAGCAACGCTTCCAAGGCATCCCTTGCCAGCCTAGAGTCCACCGGTAGCTACCGCAACCCGTGGAACGACAGCGGCATCAACTTAGCAGACGATGAGCACCACACCAACGGCTGGCCCATGCCAGCTCCTCGTTTTGAGTCCAAGTTTCCTTTTGGTTCCTCTTCCGCGGCGTCTGGGGACGTGACTCCCCGGTACGATCCGCGGGGCTCCGTGGACAGCGGGCGCCCTAGCACTTCTCATTCTGCATCTGGATACCCGGCCCCTATTGGGCCTCCTCGTTAAATGATACACCAACAATCTCGAACCATTTATTTGATACCACTACTGTACCCCCCGGCCTTTTAACGAAGAATACCCCCACCGCTACGCGTTCAATTGTCTCTTGTACGTGTGCGACGAGAAAAGAATTATACCCCCAAAACCTTCCCACTCCTACGGCGAATATCACGTATAAGCCTGGCCTGGCTGGTTGTTTTGTCTTTGTCTCTCTCTCTCTCTCTCTCCATCTCTCTCTGCCTGGTTTTTATTGTCTTGTTTTTGCTGCTACTGTTTTCTTGCGCGTGTGTGCGGGGTTCCCTTTGCTTATTTCCGAAAGGGCGTTTTTCCTCATTTCTTTTCTTTTTTGCTTTTTTTGCTGCTGCTCCTGTAACCTTTGAGAAGCCTTCTTTTGTGTCGATTTCGAAATGATTCCCCCTCCTCCTCTCCCAATCAACCCTAAACTTACTACTACTCCTTACCTTAACCTGGCAACCTTCGAATCGGCGCGAAGAAAAGAAATATACCAATTTGCTGTTTTTTTCCAACTTTCGGAATTGAAGAAGATGATGATAAAAATTGATGTTCTCATTGCTGTCACTCTCTCTATCTTCTTATGTGGTATTGATGTTGATGATGCTGAGATTGAGAATTGAATACCCCTCCACTCTACCCTCGCTTCCCTTGATTTTCTTGTTTGCCGCGCTTTCGTCGTGATGGAGATGGTGGGGATTGGCTTCGCCGTTGGCTCAGGGTACGTAGGGGGTAATGTGTATGGTGAAACGTATATAAATATGAATGGAAGAGTTGGTCTCCTATCTCTCCGTGTTAGATACGTGTATACACATGTGTGTGATATGGTGAGACTTCCAGTGTGCAAGGATCAAACATGAAGACAACAAAGTGGACAGAGCAGCATGTACATATTGTTGAATCTACTATTAACACTAGCCACTACGGTAGAGACGGCGACATCCTCGAGAGCCATAGAACGAATACATGTGCCCATTTGCCTAAGAGACGACAAAATGAACGTATACCAAGGCACTATCCAATCATCACAGCAGTCGCCATCCTTTACATACTGGCATGTAACTTTTTTCCTTTAACCGTTTGCAAAGATCACTTCTCGTCTGAACTCAGATGCTTTTGACTACAGTTACGCTTTCTGGAATCGTAAAAACAAGTTTTCCTCCTCCTCAAACGACACACGGCACGTCATGGCGAATCTACCGCTTGGTCTTCTTCTTAGGAGCAACAACCTTGAAGTTGCTCGAGTCCAGGGGTTGCTGCTGGGTTGCGTTGGCGCCACCCTTCTTGGCAACTTCAGACCATCCGCTTCCTGCAGCCTTGTTCTCAGCAGGAGAGGAAGTGTTGCGCTCATCAATGATGCCCTTGTCCGCTAGCTTACGGCGGCGAAGGAACTCCTCGGCGAAATGGCGAGAGTCGAGCGTGCTGGAGGCGGAATGAACGGACTCGGTAATGAGTTCGGCGTCAGCAGGGAAGCTGAGAAGAGATGAGACAAAGTCCTCCGCTGTACAAACGTTAGCAAATATCGCTCAATATAATACAAGTCAGGACATACCATTGATGTTCTTGTTAAGATCATGGCGGAGCTCATTGACGGCCCACTTGCGGAATTCTTCTTCCGCATTCGGCTTGCCAGATGGTGCTCCTGCAGTACTACTGCGAGCGACTGTGGGCTTCTTAGCGAGAGAGGGCACTATAGTAGAACTAGCCGAGCGAACGGCGCCAGGAACGGGCGTTGTCGTACCACCTGGTGCCTTGACCTTTCCACTTGCGCCAACCGTGGTCCATGGGCTGCTACCAGGAGGCCCTGCAGGTCCTGCAGGCGACGCAGGGGTGCTCTTACCCGCCAAATCAGCATATCGCTTTCCGGCAGATGGTGGTGGGACTGGTGATCCAAATACATTGGCTGCAGCAACACTCTGAGCAGCGGCACGTTGCTTTCGAGCTTCCTCCTCCTTCTGAATTTGCTGAAGCGTCTTCTTGGAACTTGGAGTCGGCTGTGCGGCAACCTTGCTTGTCACAGGCTTGGTCCATACGGAAGCATTGTTTGCACTGGGTGTGACGGGAGATGCACCGCTTGCCCAAGTTGAACTGGAAGGTAAACCGGGTTGCACCGCAGGCGACTGGTTCTGAGCCTGAAGTTCTTTCTCGAATGCTTCGCGACGAGCTGCAGCTGCGACAGCCTCTCGCTCTGCCGCCTTCTTTGCTTCCATCTCTTGGATCTCCCTCAGAGAAGGACCATGGGATGCGTTGACAGGCTCCTTCGCCCATGGCGCAACTGAGACGCTTGGGGTATCGGCAGCTGGGGTTGCCGCACCCGAGCGAGATTCGGCATTGAGATTTTCGGCAACAATTGGTTTCCTCTGGGCGGCAGGTGCAGGAAGAGGAGACTGGGATGGTGGCGGCGGGAATGGGAAAATTGCGGGCTCAACCTTGTTCCACGCACTTGCAGATTGAGGAGATTGTTTGGCAGAAGCAGCCTTCTGCACTTGTTCAGTAAGCGATAGTGGCTCTTGTCCAGTAGAGGATGGCTGCTCCTTGTTTTCAGATTGTTGTTCTTGACCATCTGCGCCAACGGGCGATGCAGGCTCAGAAGCTTGTTGTGATTGCTGAGCCGACGAAGATGAAGGCTTTCCAATGACACCCTCTGGTGGAGGGACTGCCTTTGGTTGTTCCATATCTGTCTGGACTCGCAGCTCATTAAACTCGGCAAAGCGCTCGGCGAAGTTGCGAGCAGCCTGTACGTCTTCAGCGCTGCCCTGGCGGATCATGGCATCATGTTCTGCTTGTTCGCGCTTCAAGCGAGCCCGATCGCCGATCACTGAAGCCACATATTGTGCATGTGCATCTTGGTCCTGCTGTTGTCCACCGAAGCCAAACTGGGGCTGATTGTTCCGTCCCAAGTTGAGACGATCCATCATGGCGGGCACATCTTGGTCTCTGCGATTGTTCATCATGTCCATACCAGGGCCAATAGGGCCTAGACCAGGTACTGGACCTGGACCAGCTCTGAAGGTACTATCAATTAGCCCAGGAACAGGTGCTCCTGGTACGGCTCCCTGCGGGGGCGATGGCTGATATCCGCCAGGTGATGTGATACTACCAAAGCTTGGCTGGCTGTGCAGACTATGTGCACTGGAGTGGTGATTGAGCTGGTTTGGTATTACTCCCATCTGGACTTGGCGGGCAAGGGCTTGTTGCTGTGCAGCTAGGTGCTCCTTCTGACGAGCCATGAGGTACTGCTCTTCTTGCTTTCTACGCTCAAGTGCATTTTGTTGCTCGGCAGTAAGGGTGGTTCCGAAGCTCGGGAAGCTGTTTGCAAATGGAGGTTGAGCTCCTGGAGCAGCAGCGGCACTAGGACCGGCACCGGCCCAGGAGTTACCAGGCTGGGATGTAGCGGGACCATGGGGAATGCCAATTTGAGGGACCAAGAAAGGCTCACGCGAGTTGCCAATACGACGGATGAGCTGCGCAAGAGGTTCATAGTCGGGCTCCTCGGCCTTCTTGACTAGCAACTCGGGAGAGAAGAATCCAGCCTTGTACCAGTCGTGCATCTCCAGACCAGAGAATGGGCCTTGAACATTGCCCGATGGGTCGCGGTAGATCCACCTCATTCTATCAGGCATGACCATCATACGCTGTTGAGGAACTGGAGGCTGGCTGGAAGCTGGGCTTCCAACGCCTGGGGTCGAAGGCTGGGCAGTCCTGGTCGGGTTCAACGCAGCCATGGAGAGGGAGGTAGTAGCAATGTTCTGGGGCTGTCCTGTTGAGTTATGATCGTCATGATGGGCATTAGAAAAGTCGTCAAAAAGATTGCGGTTTGCGCGGAAAGGGCTATCCGTATCACGAGCAGGCGCTTGGCCGCCAAAGGCGTTTCTTCCAAAAGTGCCAGTCATGCTATGCTGACGATCACCGTGTGAAGATCCATCGTCAACAGGGGCTCGATTTGGGTCGTTTGATCGCATCTGCTCTTGCATAGAAGCTGGGAACAAGGAGCCGAGCCTGCTAGAGCGGCCTACTGTACCATGGCCATGACCAAACAACGAGCTGTTGCCTAGGCCGGCCAGAGAAGGCGATTGAGCTTCACCTACGTTTCCGAAAGCACTTTCAAAGCCACCGAGACCGCCGCGTTCGCGGGTTGGGGTACCCAAGGTGTGAGATGGCCAAGCCGAGGCACCTCCCAGACCAGGCAGACCACCACCCAGCCCAGGCAAGGTAGGAAAACCTCGATTGGGGCCAACGCTGGAGGTTTGACTACGATCGCTTGCTGCAGTCTCGAATGGCACAGCCTTTCCAAGGCCTCCAAGGCCACCAAAGGCATTGTGAATGCTTGAGTGGACCGACTGGTCAATGTGGAAGCTGCTCATGCCAGGAAAGTGGGCGTTTTGGTCGCCGGAATCGTCCGAGTCGTCATGCTGATCCCGTGCGTGATGCGGGCTCTGGTATGGATTGGTATCCGTCGGGCTCATGGGCTCGTTACCAGCTCCACGGAGGGGCGACTGCTCTGTGAAATTATTCTTGCTATACATGTTGTCGGTAGTCATTCCGAATGCAGATAATCCAGAGTCATCACGGTGGTCTGGGCGGTGGGGCGTTGCGAAATTACCGAAGCCTTGAGGTCGGGGCGGACTAACGTCTTCGCCGCGAAGCGCAGCACTGCCCGTTGGGTGTTCATGGTCGGGGAAAGGATCTGTGTCGCTGCTCATTGGTCGGTTAGTGCGGGCCTCCATCCACGATGCATCAGTTTTTGAGGGCTCTGCCTCGCTAAGCTTGCCCAAGTTATTCGTCGAAGCTTTGTCCTTCGGGCCGTTGCCAAAGTCCTCAACACTTGGTTTGCCCATTAGACCTTTGAAGCGACTCTCGCCGCGCAAGCTACCGTAGCCAGGCTTCTTATCTGCTTGTGGATTGGCGAAGCTTCCAAATGCACCAAAGCCACCACCAGGCGTTGCAGACCAAGGCGATGCACCAGCACCTGGGCTGAACGGCGCCGTAGTGCTCCGCTTCGCAGGACCAAAGGGACCTGAGTTGTCACCAGCACCCTTCTCCCGATCGCGTTCTTCACCCGGACGACCCTCTGCAGACTCCTTGTAATCCGTCCGACGACGTACCAAAGCAGGCGGCGGGGTGACGGCACTGCCTTCTTCGCGCGCGAATCGTGAGGTAGCGGGGGAGGAGGGGAAGGGGTAGGCTTCGCCGGTGTCGCGACGTCGAGCGCCCGGTCGCGAGGCAGTGGGCGAGGACAGACCGTAGGGAGTACCTGCTCCTTGCGACACCGAAGACTTGCGCAAGGACAGAGGTTCTTTGGGAGTACCGTCCTTGTTGTTGTTCTGCGTGGGGGGTTTCAACGGCGAGTTGACAGACGAAAGGAAGATCTAAGCGAGAAAGCGCACGTTAGCCTCGGTCGCTGCATGGTGCAATGAGCAACAGCCTACCTCTCTTTCCTCGTCGGTCATGTCTGTAAGACTCAGCGGCAATATGCTGCCGTCTTTGTCCCAGCACTGATCGACCCCGCTTGGCGCTTCCCTGCCACCACCATGATCGTCTTTGCGGCCCCAGGACGCGCCCGAGGCCCCGTTGGTAGCGTGAGGTTCCCATACACCCATGTACAAATCTGACAATCCGTCGCTGAGGTCTCCGGCCTGTTGCTGTATCCGGAACAACTGCGTCAGTTGACCTCGCGAATACCGGCCCTCAAACGAACTGCCATTGCGGCCAGGCTGTGCATGTGGGGGGACATATACGCCGGCGCTGGTTGAAGAATTTTGCGGCGCAGGAGGGTCTCGTGAGGCTGGTTGGGTTGTTGATCCGGATAGGCTGGTCGCGTGTGAGGGTCGGCGGAATGTTTGCGTGGCACCGTTGGTGCGTCGGGCCCTGCGGTCGGCGTGAGTATCAAAGCAATTGCTACGCCACATGTTTGCAGCGATGGGTATCGGGGGTTGTGTAGGGCGAGAGAGCAGTGTGTTATTTATAGCGACTTGAAATGGGCGAGCACCGCGCGCCCAGAGTGAAGAATGATGCGTGTGGAGGAGATGCAAACAGAGACGAGGGCCGACTTACCAGTCGCCGCCCGCTTCTACGCGCGCTGGATTGGCGCTGTTTCCCGCAGCTGCCGAAGCAAAAGAAGTAGGAGCCATGGTGTGGTGGGTCAAGGAGTGGTGAGGGAGCGTGGTGTCGATGCCAGAAGATTTAGTGTGGGGATGGGTGCGGCGATGTGTTGGAGACAGGTCCAGTCGAGGTGAAGATGGCAGGCGGGCAGTGGTTTCGTGCGAGGCGGGACAAGGAGGCAGTGGCACAGTATGTAGTGGCACGGGATTCGGTGGGGGGGATGCAGTCGTATTGCGGCGACAAAAGAAGAGCTGCTCTGCTTCGGCGAACATTTGAGGTTGGCCTGCAGCCGAGACAGCCACACGTGACTGCGCTGCCCGGTGGAGACGCCCATGTTTTCTCCCACCATCCCGCCACACTACGCGTCAACGCGTCGTGCCGCAGAGTTTGTCCTGTCATTTTGTTGCCTCCTGGTTTATGAATATCTTAGGCCGGCGTTCGGCCTGTGGCAAGCCATCTTGTCCCTCTGCATGTGTACTTGTATTCATCTATCTATCCATGTGTGCATGCGGAAGTCGCGCCCGGGCGTGCCTTCCCTATGACGTTACCAATAGCGACTTCCCTTGCTGTCATCATAACCCACCATCGCCGCCCAACTCTTTCCGTCCTTCTATCAAACGTCACATCCAAAGCATCATGTTTGATCCCTTATTGTATGGCCCCTTTACTCTGCAGACCCCTTTTTCGTGTGGTTGAGAACCAGCTGAAACAGCATAACGGAGTCTCGCTCGACTTGCTTTCAGCTCCAGTGAAATCATCCTCATGGTAGCTGACGAATCACCGCCCCAGCTTATACTCTTCCGCCATAAAGGCCATAGCAATAGAAGCAGCTTACAGTAGAATCTTAACGGCTCCTTAGTGGCGTGCGGATCACTAGGCACATCGGAGGGGGATTGGCATAAGATCGACAAGACAGATCTGCCGCATGTGGGCAGTAAAGAGCATATATACATGCATGCACTCCCAAGTTGACAGTCGTGATTTGGAACCATTCTCATATTTGGCCTCAATTCACACCCATGGACTATCGGCACCTGTCGCTCAATGCAGATACTTCGCGCTGGATGCACTCTGACATCACAAACCAGCGCTACTCCGGTGTACCGTTCCGCACGCATGACCATCGGAACTCTTCTGGAGTTGATTTTTTCTTACGGGGGCGAAGATGACGGTGACTCTGACATGCCATTGGTGGATAAGCCATCAAACCGGAAAAGAGACTTTGGCCATCCTGGACAGTCAGCAAACTGAGTTTCACAAAGGACAAGTGGGGTACACACTTTTCGTAATTCCCCGCCTACGGTGATGAGACTGGTGACAGTGATCATGGAGTTGACTTTGAATGGCTTCTTCCAGATCAACCATGGATAAACTAGACACTAGAAACTTCATGGTTTCTTGATTAAACCCATTCTGGAATTCTCGTTTTGTCTTGCATCACTGCCACTAGCTCACGGAGCGTAGTCAGGGCCATTCTGACGAGGCAAGCACTAACCATGTTTGCTATCCAAGCACGAACAGAACACAGGGCAACCGCTCCATCGCGTTGGCATTATTACACACGCCTGTCGCCAACCTGTCAACAACCGAGTGATTTTTTCTAGCGGCTTGCCAGGCCTCTACAAACCAACGAAATCTGCTCATGCCAAACGCCCCGTCTTCTATGCAATGCTCAAAGAACAACTGGCATTGCTTGTAGATTGCTTGCCGCTTCACTGGTTGTATGGGCGTACTCAACCTCCTGACCATATACAAGTTTGGTTCGTCATATTTCAACAGCTCAGTTGATCATCCCCCCCAACAGTTGGTCAGTGTCCACGAGTAAGGTATTCCAATGAAGATGGTATATTCCTCTGCATTGGAAACAAATTTTGAGACTCGTGATTAACTTGAGCAGACTACATTTCAGCCGCATCAAGAAAATGACTACATAGGAGAACTAAATACGTTACACTATAAAAGTTAAAAGCAATACCAACGCCTCATCCTGGCTTGACCTTCTTATCATTTAATGTTCACCTTCAAGCATACTTTGAAAAGTATCGAAAACCGACCAGCTCGCATCGGTGCGAATTACGCAGGTTACCACATCCACCATGTGCCTCCACTTCCACTACACCTACCACTGCCACCCATCTGCTTCTGAAACGCTCTCTCTGCGTTGTCATGCTCTCCTTCTGCAGCTCCAAGAAAATCGATCCCTCTCGGCACATTGCCCGTTTTCAGAAGTGTGCCCACGGCTACGGGAAAGATATATTTCTTCACCATACTGCATCAAATGCTTGGCGAAACAAGCAGACATGGATTAGTGCTGCAGGGGCAAGAAGGAGGTGTCGATTAAAATTAGTGCTTCCAGATCGCTCTGGATCTCGTTAACCGCCGAGGGAGGTGCTAGATCCGATTTTGTGACAAGAACTTAGTGTGGCCAGGGCGAGACCCTATCTTTGCCCCAGCCTTTGTACAGGCAAGCAGCGCTAAATTTACCTGGACTGATCTTGTCGCTCACATGTTTATCTTGGTTACATGTGAATGAGATTCATGCATATCCATCTGATGAAGCTGACATGACCGTTTCCCAGATACAACCAAGATCCGCATGCATGTCAGCCCACGTACACAAGCTTCAGCTATTGACCAACCAAGCTTTACCGTTGTGCTCGCTAGCTACAAGCCTTGGACGTCGCAGAGATAAACGTACAGATTACGCCTTGGCTACCCCAGACAAGCCCTAGCCGTTTTCTCGCCTCACCGGCTAATTTGGTCGAGGTGCCTGCACCATCCAGCCACTGAGAGCTCTTCTTGAGTGACACGAGCATATTGAGCTCGGAGTATCACTACCAACGCGGGCAAGAGGCAAGATAGGCGTGCTACACTACTGTAGCCTCTTGCAAAAAGACACCAAGTCTGGATCCTTGGTACTGCACAGCTACCACGCACTGTCTCACTCATGCATCTGCAAAATTCGTCAGCATGAAGCACGATGAGTACTTGAAGGATACTCAGCCCTTGCCTGAGTATGAGGCCTTTGTTAGGGAATTCGAGTATCTTTGGTCGCCATGGCAGAAAAGGCTGGTCACGACGCTACCGTCGTTCCTGTATCAGTTGGTACATCCGTTGAGGATATAGAGACAAATGGGTTTGATGAAGTAGGCACGAAGAAGCTGCTACGGAAGCTTGATTGGCATCTCATTCCTTTCATGTCTCTCATCTATCTGTAAGTTTTGTATCTCAACTATTATTCTCTCTGCTTCTCACATATACCTAGGCTATGCTTCCTCGACCGCACCAATATAGGCAATGCTCGTCTCGATCACCTCGAACAAGATCTCAACCTGCATGGCCTTCAGTATAATGATTGTCTTGCTGTTCTTTTCCCATTCTACATCGCTGCAGAGATACCGTCCAACATGATGATGAAGCGTACCCGGCCTTCCATCTGGCTTACTTTCATCATGTTCTTTTGGTCACTGTCAATGATTCTGCAGGGCTTTGTCAAGAATTATTCGGGGCTTATGGCTACGCGAGTATTCCTCGGTGTGTTCGAAGGTGACCTATTCTCCCATCGCCACGCACTACCGTACAACCACTAACCGTTTTCCAGGCGGCTTATTCCCCGGCGTAAACTACTACATATCTCAATGGTAAGTTGCCCCTGAGGCCTGGATGTCGAGTATTAATATCTGGGTTTAGATCACAGCTAATTTCTACTAGGTATATCCGAGATGAGTGCGGGTTCAGAATGGCCCTCTTCTTCAGTGCCGCCACTCTCGCCGGCGCCTTCGGTGGCATCCTTGCACGAGGCATTGCAGAAATGTCTGGCGTAGGCGGACGGGCGGCATGGTCCTGGATTTTCATTCTAGAGGGTCTATTGAGTATTCTAGTCTCCATAGTAGCATACTGGTGCATCTACGACTACCCAGCCACGTAAGTCACTTCTCCTCTCTCAACCAATCATTCATCTGTTCTAACGTACTGATTCTCCCAGTGCCCGCTTCCTCACCTCCACCGAACGCACAGAAGTGCAGCGCCGCCTACGCGAAGACTCGGGCCACCTCTCCAACGACTTCAACGTGAAGTACGTCTACCAAGCCCTCAAGGACTGGAAAATCTACATCTTCATGCTCATCTGCATGGCGGGTTTCTGCCCCATATACTCCTTCGCCCTCTTCCTCCCCACCATCATCAAAAATATGGGCTACACCGCCAACGAAGCCCAACTCATGAGCGTCCCGCCCTACGTCTGCGCTTGCGTCTTTACAATCGCAGCGTCCTGGTACGCCGACCGCGTCAAGAAACGAGGCATCTTCCTCATGGCCTTCCAACTCATCGCCATCGCCGGCTTCGCCATGCTCGCTGCTACAAGCGCGCCCAGCGTACAGTACGCAGGCACTGTCCTCGCCGCCATCGGCATCTACCCACAGATCCCGCTCGGCATGGCGTGGAACAGCGGTAACATTGGCGGCAGCTTGAAGCGCGGGACGGGTATCGCAATGCAGGTCATGGGCGGCAACTGCGGTGGTATAATCGCATCGTACGTCTATGTTTCACGTGATGGACCGCGATTCATCACGGGCCATAGTATCTTGATTGGATTTGCCAGGTGAGTCTACAAGGGAGTTTACTTAAAGTACTGTTTAGCTAATTGATTCGAAAGCATGGCATTCTTCCTTACCTTCTTCATGTCAAACTGGTTCCGCATGGAGAATGCGCGCCGTGACAAGATTGCGCTCGAGACTGGACATCAAGAACTTACCGAGGAGCAAAAGGCCATGGAGAGTGAACTCGCGGATTACGTACCGTGGTTTAGATACACTACCTAAGTTACTGTTGAAAATATGGTGCTGGTCGTTTTTTGTTCAACGAGTCAAGCATAAAGGCCATTCATAGACTTTTCTTCTTCGGAGAAAGGGAAATAGAAATCACACATACACATAACTACTACTTCCATATAGACAATGTAGAAATACAAGACCAGTCTCACAAGATTCCCCACATTCATCCCACCCCATTCCATTCCCCATATCTTAACCCTTTATCCAGGTGTGCCTTGTTTTGAAACCCCCCCCAGGCTCCCCCCCATAACATCCATCCGCCCACATACACCTTATACTATCAGAAAGAAAAAAAATAACAGTCTCAGCGTAAACGCGACAACACCGTCAGCCAACCAATCTTTATCCAGCCCCCCCCCCATATTAAGCCCCATAGCAAGGAGCCGGGGAGTGGGGTTATACAATTCATGCCAAACGAACCTTCAAGTCCACAAAATGCAATATGTGGGTCTCAGAACGAGTGGGGTTGTTCCAGGGGGGGGGGGGGTGTCGCCATTCGTTCGCGCACCCTGAACGGTAACCAAAAGATAGCTAAATTTTTGCGTTTACTTAGCATTGAGCGTTTGGGAAACCCCCGTATGTTTTGTCTTCTCTTTCATCTCCACATATGTGCTTGTTAATGCTGGAAAAAAAGGTGGAGGATTGTAAACAACTGATTTTTTAATATTTTTTTTCTGGATTGAACGTAGAGAAGAGAAAAAAAACAGTATTCATAACGTCATTATGCCATTACCAATACCTAAAATAATCCTAAAAACAAAAAGAAAAGAAAAGAAAACACTCAAGGTTTTTCTTTTCTTTGTTGGTACAAAATGGAGAACATGAAAGAAGTAAGTAGTCTTTCTCAAGTGTGTTTGGAGAAAAAGGTGGAATGGCGGAAAAAAAGAGTGGAAAGGGACATGGGGAAAACCCTCTCTCAAACCATTCTCGTTGGCTGTGTAGGCTGCATGGCCCAATCTCCCTGGTCGTCATCGTACCGCCGTTCTATCGGCCTACTAACCTGCTTTGGCTGCATGGGCGCCCACTCCGACGCAGACTCCTCGTCATACCGCCTCTGGTACGCACTCTCAGGGTTCGGCACGAGCTCAACAGCCTCAGCCTTCTTGACGCGCCTCATTTCCTGCTCTTCCAGCAACAGCTTCTTGATGGTGCGCATCTTGAGGTAGATCCAGATTCCCATTGCGACGGTGATGACGAAGACGGCGCCGAACATGACGGTTTTGATGACATCGTCGTTACTTTGCTGCAGGAGCAGCACGCCGAGGTAGACGAGGAAGATTTGCTTGGGGAGCGAGAAGAAGGTTGCGACGACGAAATGCCAGAACTTGACGTCGCAGGTGGAAAAAACGGCCGTGGAGAAATGGGCGGGGATGGCGGAAAGTCGGATGACGAGGACGATGAAGAAGCCGCCGTCGCGTGTCAGACGGGCCATGGCGCCGTAATTAAGATTTGTGCGTTCTAATTTCAGGGCCTTGCTGCGGAACGCATATTTGAACGCGTACCAGGTGCCGACTGCGGAGCAAAAAGAAAATGATTAGCTCATGTTGAAAGAAAAAGGGCCGGAAATTCGGGGGTCAGCAAAAGTAAGATAAAAAAACAATAAACTTACCCTCGCCGATAAAAGTGCCCGCTGCCACAATAGCGAAACCGATCCAGAGCCCGTAGACAACACCGCACAGCAGCGCAATAACCTCATGGCCGAAGAGCGGCGGGAAGGAAATAATGACGAGAATGGCAATGGGTATTAACCATCCTGCCGGCAAATCACGGACTTTTTCCGACCACGGTCGTAGTTTCTGGAGTAAGGCGTCAGTCACGTGGGTCCCACCGGCTCCCCGAAAGCCAAAGGGAAATATGCGGTGAGGCAAAAAAAAGAGAGACATACCTCGACAACCTCGTCGTGCTTGATTGTGATGATGACAGTAAGGATGCCAATGATGATGAATAATATGTGCCATGCTAATTTCCGTTGTCAGCAAAAGTATCCAAGTGATCAGCAGGGGGTGACAGATGTCAACATACGTATGTACTTTGGGGCGAGGAAGAAGCGTTTCCAGTCGAACTTTTGGTATTCCGTCTCTTCAGGAGGGCCATTTGACTTCTTCGCCTTCTTCTTCTGCTCAGCCTCCATCATGCCCGACATTTCAATGTCGCTGTCCTTCTTGCGGAACCACATTGCGGGCGCACGATATGTGGATGGCCCTGTCCAGCGGGAAAGTATTTTTTTGGCGAGTCAAGGGACCAAGAATGGCGGGTGGGAATGGAGCGAAAGCCAGTTTGGGGGGCGGAATGGAGCTCGGGGCGCAGGCGAGTTTGTATCTGGGGGCAGCGCCTCTTCTTTTTTGGAGTGTGTCGAAGAAAGAAAATCCGGGCAAACGGGCAATTCCTGGGGAAGAGAGGGGGGTGTGGGTGTGGGAGGTAGAAGGGGAGAGAGAGGTGTCGGTTGGGGAGGGGTGATGTTGGTGGTGGTGGTTGTGGCGCGACGGAGGATAGGGGAGAAGGATCATGTATCAAGGGCTCGGGCATGAAACCGGCATAGCCACATCCGCGTAATCGACGCCTGGACCAATGGCGACGCGCCCAAACGTTGCTATGTGAGACACTGGCGCGGGAGATCAGCGCCTGCAGACGCGGGCTTAAAACCTATCAAGCCCTACATCCCCGCCTGCACATCATTTGCGACAGGCACATTTTGCTGCCCTTCCTTCAAATCTCCATGTCCAGCTGTCGCCTGCAACCGTTGCCCGACACGTTGGCGCCCTGTCCTGTCCGTGCATCGGCCGCTGCTCTTGCGGGTGCGCCTTCGTATCCATCGCCACGATAGCCTCACCCCCCAGAGGCGGTGCAGTGCGGCCCACGTCAGATCCAATGTTTGTTTATATTTGGACGCGCGCCGAGGATCGCTATTATTACGACCGTTGGGAATTGTGGGCAATGCGAAGATGCGTCGTCATCATCATCCCTCTAGCGGGCGGCGCGCTTCCAATCAATTTAAAGGCCGATGACTTGTCCCTGCAGCCCGTCCCAGGTACACACTTGCAACTTCGTATTGCGCCCAAAATTCTCCTTCCGTCGCGCACCAATTCCCTGGTTGTCAGGAAACGGTCGTGGTCAGCCACCTCTCGATATCTTTTTTGTTGCTCGGCTTCCTGATACTTATTTCAAAACAAGTTACACATGATGTGTTTGTTCACAGCAAGGTAGCCTTGCTGCCACCTCGCTTGTTTGTCTTGCTTATCCCAACCACCATACTCACATTGTCGCGCTCGCAACAGTACGTTTCGGCTTTCGGTCGGACGAAATGTGTCCTTTGTCCGCCGGCTCCGAGTGACCGAGGAGTGTTGAGGTGAGACTTGCACCTTGGACATTTGGTTGCTTCTCCTCGTTTCGTCCTGGCCAAATTCATAGCCGCCGGACATTGTTACCATTACACTTAGACAGATCCTGTAGGATTCTCTGGGATCCAGTACCTCGTTTTGTTTAAGTAGCGTACCACCATCTTTATTGGATCCATGTTTTCGCTGCATGGCGCGTACACGTGGTCCGTCGTACTAACCAATCTGCATGCAAGCAACTACAAGCTTCAGGATCGGCGTATCCTTTCGTTCTTGATGTTGGAAAAGAGGAGGAGCTGCATGATAGGTAACGCAGGAAATTATCAGAAACCAACCAAGTGACGATACTCCTCAGCCACCCGGAGGTCAAGGTTGCCTCTTGTCTTACTACACCAACTCCTAACAAAACCTTCTGCGGTCGTTCATGTTTTAAACCCTACAAGCACTTTTATGCGCAACTATTTTGCACATGTGAAAAGTCACTCAAGCATTTTAGCGCTGAAAAGAAGCTTATTGTGGCCTGGCTAACTAACTACACATGTCAGCATTCAAAGCATATTTTTTCCTTATCCGTCTACAAGAGTTAATGGTATCCATACCATTACGACCCTATCGATTTGTGTTGCAGTATCGTTTTTGTTGGAAAGGTCTGACTTGTGTACATTGTCGTTGGATATCTCTTCATTTACTCGCATTCGAATATCTACTCATGTAGGCAAAGCGCTTCGCTTGAATAAGGTCGGCAATATATATAGGTAATTTCCATCTGAATGATGGACGACTTCGTTGCGACCTTTCTCTTCCTCTCTCTCTCCCCCAGGCTCACTGTAACACATTATGCATGGCCATCATACTTTGGATCCCGCGCATTCAACAAAGGGTCATACTCAATCTTAACTTCTCGCTCAATACCATCCTCGTCCACCATCAGGGCACAATTGGCATTGATCAAATGCCACTCATTCTCATCGTACGTTGTAGGCTCACTGGCAATAATGGTGTGCTTGCCCATTCGCTCTGCCTCGAAGGATGCCTCGAGATTCTCAATCTCCTTGCTATCCGGGTTACCCGGGTACTTTGTGTTCAGGGTACGGCCGGCAAATTCAGACCAATAGAGACTGGGTGGCTGCTGTGTAGCATGGTTCCGGAAGCGGATGGCAAGCATTCTGTTGCCGTCTGTGGTGCAAAAGTTGAGAGAGTTGGGTGTGTTTGCATCCCCGAGTTTGGCGTGCTGCAGCTCGAGAATACGGACTACTGTTTTCTTCATAGCCTCAAGCATCTTCTCGAGCGGGTACGACTTCTCCCAGCTCTCCTTGTCTCCGCCGTCTGTCAGAAAGGTCATGTACATGGCAGCGGCGTGTTCCGAGTCGGTGCTGCCTAGCACATTGCAATAGGCGTCAAAGGAGAACTCGTCCGTCATGTCTCGGCGGATGCTGGAAAAGTTGGAAATGACTCCATTATGCATGAAGACGTGGCGACCAAAGACAAACGGGTGCGAGTTGACCTGGGTCACAACGCTGCCACTGGTGGCACGAATGTGGGCAAACACACATTTTGCCTCTGTGTTTTGGCAGAGAGACTTGAAGTTGAAATCATTGATGGGCGGAGATTGTGACTTGTAGAGGGCTGGGCGTGGGCCTTCTACATGCTTCAAGTACGAGGAAGTGGCCTCGGTGTACCCTGATGAGGTTTGTAAGCTAATGCCGAGCAAACATCCGAGTCAGACAACGTGCTCGAAAGGCAGGTAAGGTACACCAAAGCACATCATTTGTCATCAGGAAGACCTTGCACTTACATGCAATACCCAGGCCATCCATGTTCAAGAGTGAATTCCGCATACGCATAAGCTCGTCAGGGGCGTCATGAAGATCTTTGTCGTCGTTATGTGGGAGAAGTTTAGGCAGGTAATGCTCAGAACACTGCTTGCTGATGCTGTTGGCGGGAGTTATGAGGATATCGGATAGGAGACACGGCTCCGTAGGAGAGATGTATGCGAACCAGCGACACATGATGATTTTGGGGGGGAGAATTCTCTTTTTCTTTTTTTTTGTGTTTCTGTGTATGGGACAATTTGGGACTTTTGCGAGGTCAAGAGCAACTTATATATTCATGTACTCAGACGGAGAGGAGTGGCTCTTGTAGGAAAGCGTGAGCAGTAGATCTGATCGGCAGGTGTGTCGCACGGCAGGCTCAACAACGCAGTCCGTCTGACGTGTTTACCAGTTGTAGGTGAGGATGGTCAAAAGCACAGCTGGAGGCGTACGGTGGTGAGTATCATGGGCCAGTAAAGAAGACTTTGTCGAGGAAAAAGCAAGTCGGAGATGCTCGGTGAGGGCGGAGAGCGGGGATAAAAAGAGGCGGGAAACAGTGCTGACTAGAGGATTAGAGAAGTATTTGTGTGACTATACCTTGAAAGGCCAATGCTACACTCAGATGGTACTGGGTGTGGCGCACATTGCAGGATGGAGCAAGATGGTAGTTGGTGGAAGCGTGAAGCAAAAGGAAGGCGGCATGCCATGTGGCATTGCGGGGCAGGCAGCGGGAGCGGGGCAGCCCGTCGATCAGAAGCGTCTACACATGAATGGATGGATGAACACACTATGTACTATGCAGTGTCAGTACTACAGCACGAAGCAGCAGTGCATGCCTCGAGAGACAGCAGCAGTGTCGGTTGATGCCGAAAGTTTATGGGATGCGGTTGATGAACAGCTTTTGGAAGGCAATTGCGTGCAGGTGAGCTAGTGGCACGTGTGATGGCGTGGAGCATGGCTGGACAGCAAGGGTCAGGAAGACTAGTAAGTGTAGTGGATATATAATGTGAACTACTCGTAGTAGTATATGTAGTAATGTTACCAGCTGTGTGGTCCTGCTACACAGATGTCACATGACTCTTCCCCATGTCCCAGTGTTTGGGTGCACGCGGAGCATGTTCCCGTCGACACGTGACTTGCTGCACGATGACGGCAGCCCAGGCCAGCCATGGGGCGATGCCGAGGCGGATAGAGGACGAGGCAGTTAGGCAAGTCACATGGTCGCGTGAGCTGAGCTGGGGACGACTAAGAAATATTCGTAGTGGTAAAACGACTTGTATCTCCAAGCGAATCGCCAGTAACTCATGGCATACGCGACGGCCGTGCGGTGCTTGGCTCGGCACTTCTCAGGCATGATGCCGTCATTTGATTTGTGTCTGCCCGGCCTCTAGCAACGCCAATCTCTCAACGCTTGCGATGGGCAAGACTTGATTCAAGCACTTGCGGCGCTGTTCCCTGTTATCAGCCGAGAGTCGGTCCAGCGGTTTTGACACTGGTGCGGCTCTCGATCAGCTCACAGGTCTCCTGCACCCACGACGCCCCATCGCATCCAACTCCCGCTTTCTCCCAAAACACGCGAGCCTCTGGTCAGCGACATGGATAGACCCCCACCCGCTCTCGCACTCGTTCTCTTGCTGCCTTTGCCCGCACCCGGCCTTGGGGCAGGAGCCCGGTACCTGCCGACACACTGCGATGCATCCCATGCACTAGCACGCTTCGGCGACGTGCGAACGCATCCATCCATCCATCCATGGCCTTGTCCTCCGCCAGACTGGATTACGTTCCTCCAACTGTCGTCGCGCGGCCGGTGACAAGGGCCCTGGTCGCCTGTTCGAGTGCCTGAGCTACTCTAGGCGCGGCAACCCATGGGCAGGCCCAGTATACACCCACTCTTATGCTGGGGCAAATTGTCGCCCACCCCGGGTCACTAACGCAAGCCCGCTCTCTAGTCCTCCATACACCCACGACGGCCCAGCCATTCTCCATGGCGCACTCGCACACCACACGACGAGCGGGGTTGCCCACGGCCGGCCTTGTCTGAAAACTCTGTGCTGTGCCGCCTGCCGTCGATGCCATGCCCAGTGTGCCAGTGCAGTGGGTACATGCACTAGGCCCAAGACGGCTAGCCACCACCGCCCTACTAGCGCCCCGCCAAACCCTTCTCGGCTCCTCGTCGTATCCCAGCCCTCACCACCGCGAGGATCCACCCACAGGCAAGGCAATGCCCTTATGTCCCGCTCCCACCTGTAGTAACATATAAAGACCCTGCTCTTCACCTCAGCCCGTCGTCTGTGATAAGGGTTTTCTCCTCCATCGCCCCTACCTCCTCCCCTCCTCCCTTTCGTCCACTGCTCTTCAGTGCGACTCGTTTGGCAGCCCTCGCTGTGCCCTCTTCAATTCCCCCACACGCGACTGATAGTCGGCTTCCCTCCACAGCCCTCTACTCCACAGCGACAAGCCCAGAAGCCCATCCCAGCCCAGCCCAGCCCATACCTAAAGCGACTCTCCATTGCGACCACTACCACTGTTCCCTAGCGACAATTGCCCTTTTTGCCTAAGCGACAATCCCCCCTTGCAACCATGGATCAAGAAAAGAAGTATTCTGGCGAGTTCATTCGCGAGTCGGCCCCCAATGACGATATCCAACATGGCGACATGACCGACAACTCGGATGACTTGCAGCGTCATCTGGGCAATCGCCAAATCCAGCTCATTGCCATTGGTGGCTCCATAGGTACTGCCTTGTTCGTGTCCATCGGTGGTGCCCTCAATTCTGGCGGCCCCCTCGGTATACTCATCGCCTACGCTGGATATTCGTGTGTCATTGCCCTCGTAAACAACGCCATGGCTGAAATGGCCAGCTTCATGCCCGTCTCCGGAGGTTTCATCCGCATGGCTGGACACTGGGTCGACGAAGCCCTCGGCTTCATGGCCGGCTGGAACTTCTTCTTCTACGAAGCCCTGCTGATTCCCTTTGAGATTACGGCTCTTAATGTTGTGCTAAAATTTTGGAGAGATGACATTCCAGTTGCTGCTGTCTGTGCCGCAGTCATTGTCCTCTACGCGTAAGATACCCTACACTTTCCCTTGCGGGACAAGACCACTAACCATACTTTAGTGCTTGCAACGTCTTGGCTGTCAAGGCCTATGGTGAAGCCGAGTTTTGGCTGTCAGGTGGCAGTAAGTAGATTTGTACGACTGTGAATAACACAGACAACTAACCTGTTGAACAGAGGTTTTCCTTATCTTGATTCTCTACCTCTTCACCTTCATTACCATGGTCGGTGGCAATCCTCAGCATGATGCCTATGGTTTCCGCTACTGGCGTGACCCTGGCGTCATCCCTGGCGCCACCGCCCTCGATCGTTTTGAAGGATTCCTCGCTGCTCTGTGGGCTGCCTCTTTCTGTATTGTTGGCCCTGAGTACATCTCCATGGTATCTGGTGAGGCCAAGCGCCCTCGTGTCTACATCAAGTCGGCGTTCAAGACGGTTTACTTCCGATTCGGTGCCTTCTTCATCCTCGGTGCCCTTTGCGTTGGTGTCGTTGTAGCCTACAACGACCCGCAGCTCGAGTCGGTAGTCAAGTCTGGCGAGAAGAGCGCGGCTGCCTCTCCCTACGTCATTGCTATGAGCAACCTCAAGATCAACGGTCTTCCTCACCTTGTCAACGCCCTCTTGATCACGAGTATCTTCTCTGCCGGAAACACATACACCTACTGCGCCACTCGCAGCTTGTACTCGCTCGCTATCGAGGGTCGTGCCCCCAAGATCTTCCGCAAGTGCACGAAGAATGGTGTCCCCATCTACTGCTTCCTCGTTGTTATGATCTTCCCCTTCTTGTCCTTCCTGCAACTGTCGGACAACTCAGCAAAGGTTCTGAAATGGCTCGTCAACATCATTACCGCTGGAGGTTTGATCAACTTCATTGTCATGTGCGGCACCTACCTTGCCTTTTACAAGGCATGCAAGGTCCAAGGACTCGACCGCAAGACGCTCCCATACTGCGGTTACTTCCAGCCCTACGGAACCTGGTTCGCTCTCTGCTTCGAGATCTGCGTTGTCTTTGTCTATGGCTACAGTACCTTCAAGCCCGGCAACTTCACTGCCGAGACCTTCCTTACCTACTACACTATGGTCATGGTAGCTCCGGTTCTGTTCATCTTCTGGAAGGTGGTCAAGAAGACCAAGTGGCTAGCACCGCACGAGGTTGACCTTGTTTGGGATGCTCCTCTCATTGACGCCTACGAGGCCTCTTTCATCACCCCACCTGTCAGCTTCTGGACGGAGATGCTTCAGCTCATTGGCCTGAAGCGCAATGTTCCTGTTGACAAGCGTGCTGTCTAAGATGATCTGATGAGCATTGTTTTTTTTATTTGGCACTGTAAATGGTGCGCAGTAAGGTTTTTAATGATATATTAACCTAGATGGTTAGACCGGTCGTTTGAACAGCCTACAGGTGCTGGTTACGTGTCGAGATGAATTCAATACCCATTTCTTTTACAGAAACAACATAGTGGCAATTTGCGATTGGTGGCGACTTGCGATTATTTGACGACCTCTGCTATCCCATTGCGACAAACAGCGAGGCTGATTTCCGATCTCCGATCTCCAAGCAACACTGATATTTTGGCACCCGATTGCGACCAGCCGAAGCGACGCCACCATGGCCGTATACCACATGCGACACCACCTATGCGGCAAATGTTCATGTGACTTGCACGCGGTTGTGAATCTAGCCTGGCCTTGGATATCGATTACTCTTCCTCCACGACGCTTAGGCTTTGCCACGCAGCGCCACGTTTAGCCATGGCCATAGTACTAGAGACTGTCACGACCTGTCGTGTGTTGCCTATCTCCGGGTTGACATGTATGTACAAGCAGCGAGGAGATGCACGGCGCACCCATGGCTGTTGGTCGGAAGATTCATTCGGAAAACTCGGAAGCGGGTGTGGGATAAGGCCTGCGGTTTATTGCCGGCAGCCACACCCTCAATCCTGCGAGTCGGCACGTCGCTCTACTCTTGACGAGGATGCATTCTTCCTTGTCGCATGCGCCACTCTCGTGCAGTATGGTCATAGCTGCACAAGCGCAGCCATAACCTACGCCTAGTTGACGGCTGACTGTCACTGTCGCCAGGCCACCAGAGCGTCGTCATGGACAAGGGCTGCCTGGGGCGTCGCCAAGCCACTGTCTCATGCTCGTTCATAGCCCGGACCACACGACTATAACGACCGGCGAAACGTTGATAAGCATTCAATTGGCAACGGGCGGCTTCTCCAGCAAATAGTCTTTGGACCGATGGCTTGTCGCGTGCACCGCTTAGTTGATGCGCCTCCACACTCGAAGCCCTGCCAAGCCATGGAGGGCCAGGAATCCCATACAATCGTGCCCTCTTCCGTTCGCCCAACCACACATCCTTGGTATGTCAGGTATGCATTCGACCATTTCGCTCTTTGCATCCCAAAATGTCCATTACATCCCGCCCCGTCCATCTGGCTATCAGCATGGCTGTCCGCTCGCTCCCGCTCGTCGGTGCGCCACAAAGCCACCAACCACCAATCTTCGCCCTCAACCATGGCCGTGGAATTGCGCCCGTATCTTCCTAGCACCTAGCTCTTCCGTCCCTTGCAGCTTCTTTCTCCGCATTTGATAACGGATGGCGGGTCTGGGATCCAATTTTTTTGCTGTGTTACTGACAGTGCGCAGCCGCATGGTTCACTCCCCGTACACGACTTTCCCAGCGATGCAAGGTCCGAGGAAAGGTCAAGATATCGGAAAGATTACTATTAGCCTGTGTTTGATTCTGAACTGAATGGAGCGGGAGACGCACTGCGCCGTGCCGCACGCACCGGCCACATGGGCTGAGAAGGGTAATGGCAAAAGTACATGCATGTTGGGTTTTGCTGAGTATGACCTCGTTTACTGCTTTACAGACTGTACCGCGCGATTTTTCCGTCGGGAAAGATAAGAGGTTCGTTGGGGCATTGTTCGCGTTCATTTGCGTCTGCAACGCCACCCTTTTGACGGACATGCATGATCAGGTCGAGGTAGGGCTCTGATATCTCCCTGTTGAGACGAATTATTCGTAGTCGGCCTGTCGCCGGACATGATGTTGCAGTGTATGACATGAATTCTTCACGACAAACTTTGATGAACACAATGTAGAAAATGACGGGTAAGGTAGAAGATGTAGCCATGTTGGCAACAGGTGAGCATGCACAGTATCGCAAATATGCGTTGTTATCCCAATGGCACTCAACTTTACAAACATGTCCCTCTTGCATCCCAATTCATTGCGTGACTACAGATGAAACTAAACACAAAGACACAAGACATGTTTTCTAATCTGTCCACTCCATACAAACTACATCGAAGCCACGTCCTCATTCCCAACACCAATCCACACCCACGTTCCCCCCCCCCAAACCACCAAAATAGATACGAAAAACAGCCTAATCCCCTCCTTATCTCATCAGCAACAACAAGAAAGAAAAAAGCGCGCACAGCCAAACCCATCCCGTAAAACCATCTTATCACCTCCCTCCCTTCCCTCTTCCCTAACGCAAACCCCCCCGTGGCGTATCTATACATTCGGACCATTTCACACCTCCCACCCCAGCCCCA